AAATTCAAGCAATAAACAAACTTTTGGTCCTCAAATTACTAACATAAGAAAGGCGTTTTAGAAAATTTAACAAAATTATAGAATAACATTATTAATTTACTTGGTGTACTTGCCAGTCAGTTTACTGGCTGACAAAAATGTATTGAAAAAGCAAAGAAGAGCCACAGAAAAGTTAACATACTTTTTATGGAAAACCTTCCAAGTTACTTTTTATTTTTTCTATTTTCGTAAGTGGATCATTTTTTACTTAAAATATATATTTTAATCCCTATTTAAACCATAAAGAGCATTCCCACGCTGCCTTAAACCTCGTTTACACCCTGATAGTTTTATGTTGTGCCGAGAAAAAATGCTAAATAATGTAGTCTGGGCCAGGCTGAGAGCAAGTGGAGCTCCGCTTTTCCGAGCAGCTGCAACCTTTTGCAAGGGTATGAATAAGTGGTCGGGTTAGCTTGATAACAGTTGAAATTTATAGGCAATCCAGAGGTCTGGCAACTGCGGCTGAGTTCACTTAATAGAATTGCAGCAGGACAAGGGCTTAAAGCCACCGAAAAGCAACTAAATGTGGCACACTGAAACTGAGGGCCAAGCCGTGAAGTTCAAGTTGAAGAACAGAAATAGGAGCAAGCACAGAAGCTCTCAGCAAGTTGAAATTGTATTTATGATGACATTAAATTGCCGCCGAAAAACAGGCGGCAAAAAGGAACTAAAAAGGGCTAAGAAGAGAGCTCGTAACCAGGCCAAGATAAATAGGAAAACAAAAACCACTCACAGCTGCGTAAATTGAGGATCCCCCGGTCGTCCTTGGAGGGGAAAACTTTTTCCCCGGCCCGGAATGCGATGGCGGTCAACCGAAGACCCAGACAGGACAACCAGGACACTTAGCAAAAAAATATTCCTTTTCTCATTTTTTGCGCGACTTATTTTCCTTATTCATGTTTACTATTTTATTGTGGCCCCAAAGGCAAAGAGGCGGCCGAAGCGGAAAACTTAGCGTTAAATTACTGCGAACTCTCGGGGGCATAAAACCGAAAATGGAAATTTATGTCCCAATTGCATTTTCGGGTTTCCCCTCCCCCCTTTCCCCTCCCACTCTCGTTATCTGCCCCGCTATCTCCGTGCACAAAGAAAGTTTGTTCAGGCTGATTATTGGTTTTCCTTGAGTTCAACCTTCTGCCTTCCGCCACTTTTCTCATTTCCCGCTTTAAACTCGACGCTTCCGTGTTCCCGCCTAATTGTATTAAATTTGCATTAAAATTGTTACGTTTCCTGAACGCATTAACGGGCCACAAACAGATTCTCTGGACCCAATGAAAAATTTACATAAGAACCCGGCAAAAAGCTGTAAAACACTTAACTTGATGATTTCAAAAGAGGGAGGCTAAAAGGGGAGGGCAGCTCATTAAGCCATGTGGCATATTAAAAGGTAATTTGATACTTTATTGACTGTGAACTCTGAGGAGTGGGAGTTAGGTAGACTTTTAATAGAAAACCACTTTAATATGAATTTCCCACCAAGTCATTTATCATTCTAGGGACACCTTTGAGCCTCGTTGGACACTTGACGTTGCAAGCACCCTTGGATTAATTCCAATTTAAAGCAACCCGGCCTAGAAAATCTTTAAAAACCAATTTGCAACTGCCCAGCAAAATAAGATGAAGCCAAATCAAAGATGAAATCTCCACTGAACTAAAAATGAGACTGAATCTGAGGCACCAGAGTTGCCGGCAAATTGATTGCCGTTGGGAAATCGACAATTTCTGATTAAAATATGTAAATTTCTGGCAACAAAAATTGCGCACAAGATTCGAGCTTTTCAAAGGGGAATGATTACACGAACTGAACAATTTTCCAATGGCAGTGCACAAATTATGAGAAATCAAGAAACGTGAAATGGAAACCAAGGCAGCCGCATCCTTAAAGGATTTCCAGCAATTTCCCAATACTCCCGAATTGTCCATTTGCTATCAGCCATCTCAATTGGTGTCCTATCATCGGGAACCCATCTGCAAGTCCTTTTCCCATACTTTTGATTGGCCTCCGCGGTTTCTGGAGCGGATCAACGCAATAGCAAAACAAACTGCTTCCCTTTTGCAAGAACCTCTTCTCTATTCAACCAACAAGTCCGAATCCTCTTTCTAGAAATGATTCAAGCAAGACCAAAATAAAAGGGTGAAGACGCAATAAAAAACACGGTTATTGCTGCCAGAAAAGGGAAAGAAATATAAAAGGGGGATTGGTTAGCGATTGCAATTGAATTCAAATTCCTTCAACCCACTTCAAAGTCAAGCTGAAACCGAGACGAGAAACTCCAGCGAGGATTGAGGAGCTCCATCTTCAGTTCCAGTGAGTTTTCATGCACATCCTTAGTTCTGTTTATCCCGTTAAGCTCGTTTGCCACGGCGCCACTCAAGTGGAGTTTTCCACCCCCTCACTCCCCACTCAATTCCAGGGGGCGTGGCACAAGGACATTCGATGCTGCGATTCACCACCGCCTTTTTAGCCCTTCCTTGTTGTTGGGTTTAAATATTTTATTGATGTCATTTGGACAATACTCCTTCAGTGCTCACTTGGCTGCCTCTTTTCAGGACTCTTGTCCTTATTCCTAATTCACTGCCTGAATGTTTTATTCCGGGCTTGTTGATATTTTTATCGTTTCTCCACCCACATTTACTTCTCTCTCCTTTGCCACTTATTGCTCTTAAGTGTTGTCCTTCGATTGTTATCCCCACTGTTATTGCTGTGGCTTAATCGCTGGAATTAAATCAAATTTGATATGGCTCATTTGCGGCAATTACAAGGGGGAAAGAATAAAGGGAAGTGGGAAAATTCAAATTTCAGTTGATTGTTTTATGAATTGAATTGAATTTGTGAATTGACAAACAAGGAGTATATACACCTTATCAATACTCTTTATGTTTATTTCAATAACGTAAGTATTTTCCATTTATGCAGTATGCACTCAAGGCTTTTCCTCCATTTTTCTTTTTCATTTCACATATTTATATTTGTTTTCTACCTTCTCCTTAATAAAGCACTCCCTTTCCCCCAAAAAGGAACAAAGTATGGCAGGCATGTTCCACGAAAACTTTTTCCACTGGCATATGTTGTCCCCAACCTCCCAAAATAATATGTGCAGTATATAAGGAGGGCATATCTTTGTTGTTAGGCTCGCGAGGCATCCACAAAGACATTTGTGCCCCTGCCGCATTTTCGCTTTCTTATTTGTGGCAGGCCAAAAAGTATGCAGTCGCAGCTGCATCCATTTTGTACCGGATTCCGTGGGCTTTTCAAAGTTTTCAACAATGGCCGGCGAATAAAAAGGGCCCGCAGCCAATGCAATGGGTTAATAATGGAACGGGGTAAGTATTTTATGTATTTTCAACACATTTCCGCTTCGGGACTTCTTTCGCATTTACTTCGAACTTAATTTGGTTCATCTGCTCCTTATTTTGTTTGATTGAGTTTGTTAACTTTGCATTAATTCAGTGCCTCTTGCAGTGCATTGCGGAAATTGCTTTGAATACTTCATTTCAGCAGTTTTTCCATGAAAATTATTTATGCATCGTTTTTTCCATGATTCTTGGCGAAAACTTTGTCCAAGCAGATTGCAATTGCCGAAAGCTGAAGAAAACAAACTAGCAAAAAATGGCAAAAATAATTTCCCTTTTATGCAGATGAGTCCCGTTTGCAGTGTCCTTTTCTGTAATGAAATTGACATCTCGTGTCGCGATTTCAAGCTGATTTCGTTTTTGTTCCGCTCTGTTATGTTCTTTTAGCTTCTCGAATTTCCTCATCAACCTATTTTTTTTGCAGGGACAGCAACAACTCTTAATATCCTTTTTTTCATTTTTTCCTTTATGGTGTTTCTCAATTCAATTTCCGCATTTGTTTGACTTCCTTTACTTCAGCCACTGTCTGTATTATGAGGAATACAAGTTGCTTTTCATTGCAATTAAATTGTAAATTCTTTATAGAAATATATGGGATAATTTATATATAATATTTGTGTGAAAATTTAAGAGTAATCTATCGTTTGTGATATCTTCTCTCACAATATCCAACTTTAAAATCAATATCCACAGGCGACAATAATTTGTGAACTTCAGTAGACCATTATCCTGATCGTCCACATCCGCTGGGATGCCTCATTAACCATGGCAGCCCTGGTTGCACTTTCAAATGATTAAAAAGCGTAATGAAAAATGCATGCTAAAGTTTGGTGCGTTTGTATCATTGAAATTCAAGTGACACACCGCCATTCTCATCCCGCAATCCCTGCTGTTAAGCCCTCAGACATCACACGTCCGCATAATAATTAAATTGAATATGGCAATTTTACACAATTTCACTTGTTTTTATACCTTTTCAGGGGATATTATAGATTTGGGAAACCGTTCTATAATTATTCTTAATATATTTATGGCTGGCAAAAAAATGTGTTCTAAAAAAAATAAACAACATTAAATAATAAACGGCTAAATACGGATAAACACTTATTTAGATTTAAGGAGGATTCGTTGTCTTCTTAAAAACAATTCAAATATAAAAACGATTGTAAAGGGTATAAAAACTTCTCATTTTCGTAGTTTGATTTTCTTACCTTTTGTTTTTATCTTTGCTGTTATGGCTGCTGTTTGTGTTGGGATGGGTATTAAAAATGGATACAATAAAATTGCATAACGAATAAAATGCGGTCAGAGTGAATTGGTCCTCCAGGCCAGTTCCAGCCACTTGCTAGATCAGAGCGGAAAAAAATTCAACCAGGTTAATTGTTTATTAATGTTTTGCAGGGTTTTTTCCACTGCTGCTTGTTTTTGTTAATGTCAATGTTTGGTGTTGTTTGCGCGGGCGATGTTTAATTGGGTTGCTAATTAAGCATTTAACACATCATATTTGTTCCTTGCTGATGCATTTCGTTTTTATTCAAATTTGCTCACATTTATTACTTTGCGTGACTCTCCCCCTGAATGCCATTTAGTTGTTTTGCCTTGTTTGTCTTTTTGGGATTTTTATTTAATTTAATGCCTCAGTTACAACTCATTTTATATGCTTAAATACATGTTACATAAGTGTAGTCCGTGTATGCGTGTGTTCCTTGTTTGTATATACGTATGTCTATAATTGTATATAATGCTATATATCTTTGTCAATTGTGTCCATAGCTCGCCGTTCAATTCGAATATATTTCTCATCATTCAACATGCTTTTTGTATTCTGTTATAATTTGTATTAAAAGCAACACAATTTTAATTTGTATTATTATAGCTTAAATGTTTAACATTCCGATTTATCTTTACATTAATATTAATCCGTTTGTTACATCGTAATTAAATTGTTGGTTTATGATGAACATAAAGATTTGATCTGATGAGCTGTGGTACAAATTGTTTACGAGCCGAATGGAAACGAGGATGGTTTTACTAATTGTTTTTCAAATTGTACAAATTAACAATTATCTGTATAGTTTGGCATTTATAGTTTACTCTGGATATTTGTTGTAGGAAATATTTTATGGCTAGTAGCTGCAGTATATTTTGTTTACTTTCCTTTTATTGGTTTACCATTTTAGATTTTTGTTTTCAAAGCTTTTGTCCACTCAAATCGAACTTTAAATAAATCGAAACACTTAACTCAACTTGTCTATATCTACAGAAAATCTATACATTACGGGCTTTTACATTTTTGGCTTACTTAAACAATTTTGGTGATCGATATGTGTGGTGGCTTAATTTCTAGGCTTACTTTGCATTTTAACTTGCAATCCTTAAGGCGTATGCATAATAATATAATTGAGTGTCTGTGATCTTATATGCACGTGTGAGTCAGCAGCGTTTAACGCACTAATATATAGATGTGTATGCATATCTTTGTATAGACTGTGGTATATTATGTGGTAACTATGAAACTTTATCAGTTTGAAGCACAGCATTGAAAGCAAAATGAAATTGCATTTACCCTTTTTCTGGTTTGACTTACCTCCTAGACATAGATGGTGAATACGAGTGTATATAGATTTCCGACTAAAGGATCGTGATTGATGGCTATACATATGCTGACATATATGCGTGTTTTACATATATGTCGAATTATATATATGGGGGAAGGGCGGATCGTAATTAGGGTCAGTTTCACTAGGGTCTAGTCGATTACACATACTTCGGTATATTTAATTCGCTAACGTTACGTGAAGCCTTAAGGTTAATCCCGTACATAGGTGATTAGGTAACTCTAGGCTAGATTTGCGTTAACTAACATAGACTTACGCTAAGGCTAGAACCAACCGCAGATCGGATTGTTAACAATAGCGTCGAGATGACGACCAACAGCCACGCAATTGCCATCGAAGGGTTGTGGCATCCACCGGATTCCGCATCCGCCTCGTTGGCATTGCCATTGGCCAACAGCGGATTCTGCGTCTTATCTAGGAAGGATTTTTGTTCAGATAAACCGATTTCGTTCAAGTTCGATTGATACCGCGTATCTGAATGGATGGCCATGAAATGTTGGGCATGAAATGAAATAGAGCACAAATAGAAGCCGAGAAAATTTTGTGAGTAGAGGGACAGAGTGATTTGGTGATATAAAACGGAGTGCGGGGTAGAATAAATAAAATAAACATTCATTTCGTTGACTCACTTTTGTCCGACGAATAAATGGATCTTGTGGAATCAGAACCACCGTATGCATAATTATTGTTGATCCCATTTTCTCCCCAATGAGAATCCGTGGAGTAAAGACCCGATGAGGCAGTAGTTGGAGGATAGGATACTAAATAAACAGAGAGTGAATAAATACAGTTTCAGTAAAGATAACACTGATTATTTAGAGAACTAAAAATAACACATTTCATTTCGAGTTGTCATAGCACTCAATCCAAACTTAAACCAATAATTTGGCCTTTTAAAAATACCTATTTTATTATAATAATAATGTAATTTGCTTTTGCAAAATTGTTTACAATTGCGCCATTTAAAAGGACAATTTCATTTTATTGTGGTATTGGTCTCTATTGTGTTTTCATTTGCATTGAGTCCACATAGATACACAATACATGCACAACAGTAAAAGTTCTATTTGTAGGAATATGGTCTTGTTTTCATAAAATTTACATTTTAAAATTTGGAATTTACAGCACGTTTCATTTCATTTGTTTTTTATGCATTCCGTAATTTTGTACTTATTTAAATTTTGATGCAGTCTCAATTTACTGATTCTTTTTTGCCCCGAACTGAATAATTTTCGCAGTTGTCTGTTGTTGGGCGCTTCGTTCGGCTCAGTGGCTTATGCAAAATGCTAATTATATTGTATTTTCATAATAATGTGTCAATATGCATATTTTTGCTCGCCGCGGGGTTCCCATTCCCTAATTTAAGCCCTTGGTTCGGTAATTTCCCATTTCAATTTGTTGAAATTAAAATTCGGATGTTCAAATATATTCCTGCTCATTTTGGATATTAAGTCTTTTTTAAAATACATCCAAATCTGGTAGGCAGACCCAAAATTGTAAAATTAACTAACATGTCAAGTTGGATATCCTGATTAATATGACTTATCTAATGAAATTAACTTTGATTAGGAACATTTCCCTGTAACCTAGCTGGAATTTATATTCCTTCATCCCTTTTTGATTTTTTTAACTTTATTTTGCTTGACTTTATTTTGCTTGACTTTGAATCCACTGCCAAGAAATAGCAATAACGATTTCCCAATCGATAACTTAAAACTGTTCGCCACCATCAAATCCATCACGTAATTAAACTAAATACGTGATATTAACTTGCTACCAATCCCGTGGCACACACACACACACTCACACATCAACTTTAAAGCCAAGATTCCCCTGAATCATATGAAACTGAAGGAGCTGAAGGAAAGTTCTGTTGCAGTGCAAGGATAAGCCAGAGCAGCCTGGCCAAAAATTCCACACCTTGGTAGAGGGACGTGACTTGATTTTTCACTGGCTTGATTATGGCCGCTCAACGAGCTCGTTCCACCACATTTTGGGCGGCCATTTCGGTTCATTCGGGCCAAGAGAGAGCGGGTTCTGCCCGGTTGCCTACTCGCAGACAGGCAATTAAGTCAGGCCACGGATGTGGCTGAGGTTTTTTTTTTGTCCAGTTTGCCCAGTTTCATTTTGGCCTTTCATTTGGCTTTGTCCCTGGCACGGACAAACATCTAAATGGCTTAGATTTGTCAATTTGTGTTAAGGCCAATGCGGTAGTTTTTCAATGCCTCGAGTCCTTTATTGGACCCGTTGGACACGGAGAACTTAATTAGTTGGGATTGAACTGGCAATTGAAGAACTTTAAGCAAGAAATGCATTCTTTTTGTACGACTGTCCCTCTAAGTAACTAATTCAATCGTGGTGTATAATGTCTTACTTACCATAAAGTCGTATTATGCCATCCGTTTCGCCTCTGGGATTCTTGGCCACACATTTGTAAATGCCATCATCGCCACTGCTGACATTGGTGATGGTCAACTTCATATGGGTTTTATAAGGTGGCAGTCCGATTGTAGCTTCAACTCTGAAAAAATAAAGGTTAAATTGATAACACATTAAAAATTGTTATATTATATTTATTTATTGATTTGTTTTAATAGCTTTTAAACTCACTTGTACTTGTGCGAATCGTGAATAATTGGTCCCTCGCCACGTGTCCAATAATTTAGAGATGTGGGATGTGCCTCAGTGAAGCACTCGATGGTCACGTTGAAACCTTCTGGAGCACCAACCAATTGATGGGGTATAAGCAGCATTGGGGGAACTGAAAGTATGGCAATTCAAACAAAACAGTTTATAAGATTTTTGTCTATCAACACAATTCAAAAACCATAAGTGAAATCACTATTCAATCACTTTCATTACGCACTTGCGTAATCAAAAAAGTTTAAGTCAACAAATTCATAAACTCAGCTTGAACCAAAACTTGTGGTCAAGTTCTCTATAATTCATTAGACAACTTAGAAACTTATTTTCTCCACATTTTTTTATTGACAAGCAACAAAGTTTCAAGACCAAAATATATATGCATGCTTTTCTTATAGATTTTCTGCCTGCTGTTTTTAAGTTTATGCAAATGTCCTCTTTTAGTTTTGATTTAAGCAGGCATTTTCTCCCCAGACTGATTTTCATTTAAATTGCAAGTCAAGCCGAGTCACCCAGAAAAAGTTCTTGAGCCTCGAAAAAAACGGAAAAAGAAACTATTTTCCTTTCAGCGAAATCTTATGAATAGCATTATTTGGGATTTTTGCCATCTTGAGTTTGAGCAGAGCTTGCACCGCTGGCACCTTTGTAATTATGTGCGAGGACATCTTTGGAAATCCAACCTTTGCCACCTCAAAAAACGAAAAACATAAAAAATCCGGGCACTTCTGGCGCATTTGGCGCACAATTTTAATTAAGATATTAAATGGGGAATGGGGAATGGGAAAATGCCAAAGAGAGTGGGACTAATGAACACTTCAGCTCTACGTTTCTCCCATAGTTATTGTCACCATCCGAGCTTCATCAGCCTCGCAATCTTCATCATCATTAGTGGCACAATGGATATTCTTCGGATTCCCTTTTTGTGCCTTGTCATTTGTCTGCCTGTTTTACCTTTTGTTGATTTATGTCCACCAAGAGTTGGCAATTAAGCTAAAGGCTAACAAAAACTGGCATGGAGACGGAGTCCCCCAATTGAATTTTTAATCAGCTCGGACACAAATTAGCGCTGGGCCTTCTCCTTTTTTTTGTGTGCTCATGAAAAGCATATCGTGGATCCTTTTGTATTTTTGATGAGGTGCTCGCAACCATTAGGGTTGGGTATAATCCTTTTAATCAAAACAAGCTTAAGTGTGACGAAGTAAGCAGCTTAATTAGCCTGTCAGCGAGTCGGGTCAAGTGGGTTAGGACGGGAGATCTGTACACCAATTATCCGGCACTCTGACAGGAGAGATACAAAATCCAATTTACCATCTTTGCAGCAAGAGATTTCCCAATCTACCAATAATATTTTGATTGGCAGAATCTTTAATATAAACACGGACGTTTTTCTTTGATTTTTCAAAGTTATGGATGGGGAGCGAGCACATATAGAGCTCGAACAATTTGTTAAAACAACTGTGACAGCTTGCATATGTCCTTTGGCCAGGACTCACATACATTTACCATGGCTCACACACACATACACACATACGCATACGTTTATTTTTGCGGCGTGCGTTGCCTAGCAAGCAGGAAGCAACAAATTCAGTTTCTGTTTCCGGTTCCGAAGAGAGCGTTTCTTCTGTACGAGTATATGTATGTATTTCAGACTGCATACTGATTTGTTGCCTTTGTGCAACTGAAACAGAAACGGAGGCGCCACGGAACGGAACGCAAAAGTTCGCCGGCTAAGGGCAACATATGCTGCAAACGACGACCCTTAACCTGTGCCACTCCACTCCGCTCCAAAAAGGAAACCATCGAAGGAAAAACATTTTCCCTGCTAATTTCGTATGCGGTACAGATTTTCTATATTGATATAATTTCTGTTCATTTTTCCCTCCAGACAACTTTTGAGCGGAGCTTAAGCAAAAGTCAAGCAGAAATCACCTTGAAGTTGTCGTCAACCTTTCTTTCCATTCATTTTAATTGCCCACACAAAAAGGAGACCGGGGACTGAAAAGCGCCGGACTCGAGTTGCTTGAATTGGAAGGACAAACATTTGTCCGGGATAACAGCTTCTTCCACTCCTTTCGGGCACTGATTTAAATTACAATTGAGTGGCGACAATATTGGCGAAAGGAAAGCCGGGCAAGCTGGGAAAGCAGGGAAAGCTGGGAAAGCAGGAAAACAGGAAAGGCGAAAGGCGAGTCGAGCAGCTGTTAAGTGCCACAAGGACTCGCGTTGAGTCAACAATAATTTAGCCGGGTTGGTGGGTAGGTGGCCAGGACATTGAGTGACATTCTTTTCTTTCCGCCCCGACTATAGAAAATTGCTTGAAAAAAGGTGAGCTGACTAACTGGTTGGCTGGCGAGTGTAAACAACTTGAAAATTAGCCGTTAATGAAGCCTCGTTAAGGGGTTGCAAGTTGGCCGAGAGAGGATTACTGTTCAAGTGTCAGCTTTGTTGGACATTTGTGGACCATTGATTGCACTGCCGGGGGAAAAAGCCAGGGACAATATTTGTGGAATTAGTGAGGGTCGAAATGGGAACGATGCGATGGACTTGATTGCCGGACTGAAGGTCCTTTCTCCTCGTTGTGCAATCATCGATTTTAAAAGCTATCAATGGAATATGGTTATGCAAGTGAAAGGGCAGAAGTACTTTTGATAGCATTTAAATAAAACCTTTTAAAGGCTTGTAATTTAATGGTTTACGCGATTTAAAGTAAGCAAAAAGTTAATAGCCCAAACTAAAAGCAATCAAGTGTACATTATAGATCACATCTAGTTTTTCTAACATGACATTTTTAATCAAAATATTTTAATTTTGTTTTTTAATTATTTTGCATAGAAAAACCCTCTAACAACTATATTATGAAAATTAAGTTCAACTTGAAAAACAAACAATTTTTTGTTACTTTTATCAATAAAATACTTTGATGTCAAATGTCCACAAAGCTTTTTCATCAATTTCGCCACTATTGCCTTTTGGTAACAACACACAGATTGAACAATTTCTTTTTTTATGGAGGACATCTGCAGCAATCAAGGTATTTTCGAGTCCTCTGTTTGTATGTTGCCAATTTTTTTTTGCGACTTCCATGTAGTAGTGTAATTTGTATTGCTTTTTTTGCGGACCAGGGGTTAGCCACTACTGCCACTGTTAACGGAAACTGGAACTGGTTACAGCCCAGTTTGGTTTAATATTGCGACGAGAGGATTGCAGCCACGGTTCAACGGAGGTTTGTTTGGTTACAGCAGCGAATGTCGTGTACAAAACAAAAATAGATTTATGCTTGCGGCATTTTTAAGTGACAGCAAACGAGCAAATTTCTGTGACGACCACGACCACGGCCACGCCCACAGGAAGCCGTCCCGCCCCTCAGGACTTGACAGGACCTGACAGCACATGTGATGTGTCTGTCGCCTGTAATAAATCTTAAAAAAGCGTAGAACGGCAAACGCAGTGATTTGATTCCGTCTTTCGTTTTTTCACTGTGCAACTGAACTTTAAGCCGCAAACTGCAGAAGCTACAAGTGTGTTACTCATTCACAAAAAATCGTAACTATGGGCCTCTTTGTGGGGATTTTGTGGGGATTTTGCATAAGTAAGCTTTAGAGAATGAGTTGGCTGAGAACAATTCTTTTTAGGAGAAGGAAACACTACAAACTTATTAAGAATGGAAAAGAATTGTTAGAGTTTTGGCTAATTGCCATATCATAAATCCTTAAAGTTCGGACAAATATTTTAAAGCTTTTACGTTCGGCTTCATTTAAATATTAAAACCTTTTTCCCAATTCTATGAAATATTATTTTTATTTTCACCAAACTAGAAAGAGCAACTCTGTTGTTGTTCCATAGTTTTCATGTTTCCATCTCTGACAATTTTTCCTGGGTGTTGGACTTTAATCCGCCGCCGACAAATGGAAATATGAGCGGCACCGCATCGCGAGTTATAGCAGAACCCAAAAAAATAAAACCCGCAATTTCAACAGCCAAAACAAAATTCCCAGTACGCACGTAACCAAAATAAATTGAAACCCGCATGGAAAAATAGCGAATATAAAGGGAAACAACAATGTTTGCGTTTAGTTTTTAGTCAACTTTTGTGGGAAAGTTATCAAATGGGAGGCAAAACTGTTAACGTGGCCAAAAGTCAGATGAAGGGGGAAAATGTACTGGGGGTCAGTTAATCATTTTCTCGGCTGGTGCCAATCTGATGGGTACTTACAGTCCACGCTGACTTTGATGCGCTTGGAAACCGTGGGGGAACCCCATTGGAGGCGATGCACAGATAGGCGCCCATGTCCAGTCGGGAAATTCGAGTTATCTCGAGGGTGTCGCCCTCCCACTCGTTAACTGGAAAAACAGAAACAGAGGGAAAACAGGGGGGTAGTGTGAAAAACCAGAATGGATATTGACAGGGAACAGGGCTAAATGATGGATGCACTGCATCCGCACTTACCTATGTGATTCTTATTGATGGCGATGCGGGAGTTATCATCGCGTTTCCATTTGATAATGGGTCTGGGACTGCCACTGGCTCGACACCTCAGCGAAATGTTGGCTCCCTCCCGAACAATTACATCGCTGGAGCTCAGCGAGTCATCAATATTGGGTGGAACTGGGAAAAAGCACGGGGAAAACGATACAGGGTAAAATTAATAATCAGCAATATCCGCTAAACTGTTGCACACCGGTAATCCTCTTAAATAGATGCAGCCAGGGCCCATTTAAAATTGAACTTTGCCCTCGTATTTATGCACGATAAATATTTGCCAGCGCACACATGACAAACTCTCGATTGGCGTCAGGAAATTGCTTTTAATATGAACCACCCAGCCGTCGAACAGCAATTATTTTCCAATTTCTCATTACTCGCTCACATCGAAAAGCATTTATTGGTCAAACGTATAAAACATGTGCTCCATTTTTATTTGGCTATCCCCACTCACCTTGTTTATTCAATATTATTGGCCAAAAAACAAGTGTTTGTTTTTAGACTAATACAATTATCGGGCTTTTCATTCGGGAAGCTTTTAATTGTGAATTCCATTAGAAAAACATTTGATGTAAATATGATACAGTTTTTTTTCTCTTTCCTTTTAATAATTTTTTTTTATATTAAAGTTTTACTGAATATCCTTTATTGTCTGGTTATAATTTCGTTTCTTTTTCTCCAAATTTTTTAATTAAAAGCACGCGCATTCGCTCCTTTTTCCACAAATATCGCATGCATTTTTAATAATTTGTTTGTTGTTTGCCCAGGCAGGGAAAATAATTTCGCCTGGGCAAAGGATTCACTGAACTGTGCTCCGTTCCGGATGCTGGCCCTCGTCCTGATTCCAGGACTCGGCTCTGCTCTGGACTCGACTCCGCTGTTGGCTTTCTCCCGTTTTCGGGCTTTTTTGTTTTCGCCATGTTTGCGCCCCGCGCTTAAAGGCACATAAATTATTTTTTAATTCGCCGCGTATTTGCACAGGATTTTCGTTGGGTCCACCGCCCCTCCCACCCGATTGCCACCCGAATTCCCCGGAGTACTTTGTCCTGATTAGTTGCCCCACAAACTTACCCACTACGTTCAGGTAGCCGAACTGCGTTTTGGCCGTCACCGTATTGATCTGGCACATATATCGGCCCCTGTCCTCCTCGTGCACGTTGTTTATGTGCAAATACCACGTGCGGTGGCGGTCGTGTTTGTCGTGCGTGACGCTGATCCGCGGATTCCGCGTGATCACGTGGTTGTGCACGGTCAGGATGGCCGACTGCTCAAAGTGCATCCAGGCGACCTAAAAAGGTTGCATAGAAAAAAATCATTTAGTTCAATTTCATCACCTTTTCTTCCATAAATAATTCAAAGATGCTAAGCTGGCAATATCTAACATTTCTTTCGTGATCAATTTAGAAAACATAAACAATTTAAGGAGAAAGAAAAGGTTCAAAATAATGAAGAGCCCATTGTTATTTTAATTTCACTATACTTTTGTAAAGTCTGTGGAGAATTTCGACTTTAAAGAATTTACTTTAACAATCTCAACAGATTCTAAAAATACTTTAAATGTTAATTTTATGAAGTTTAGTTTTAGAACAATCAAAATATTTACAGTATGAAACAATAACTTTTTGGCACTTTTTAAAGCTTAAAGTCTCTTGTGTATTTTTAAAAGGGCAATTAACAAGTTTTATCACACACCTCTACTCTTTATATAAATCTTAAAGTAATATACCTTCAAGCTTGAAAGTGTTTACCCAAAATATAACTGATTCCCAAGGTCTTTAAATAATTACTCTAAAGCATGATCCTATCATTTAATTAAATTAAAATTCCAGTAGGGTAAAAAAACCCTAATTGCCTTTTATCTAATTGTTAAATCTTGCTAGTATTTAGTAACCCTTCAACCACTGCTGGTAGCTACGAAAAAATACCGGAACTTTTTAATATCATCCTAACGTCCGTTTTTTTTCACGCTCTGTCACTACTCACACGTATTATATGAAACACCCAGCAATTTCACAGCTCAGCATCAGCAGTCAAAATGGAGGAGAAGGCAAAAAAGCGAAAAGCGAGAGGAAAATGGCAGAGAGCGGAAGCGAGAAAATTGCATCATAGTGTCGCATATAAAAATAAACACAACCGGTTACAAGTTCCAGGATGTTCGTTCGGAGAGGGAAAGCACTGAGTCCTGTGTGTGTGTGTGGTGTGTGATAGCTATGAATTACATGCAGCCAATATATGTAAGGCGAAGCCTTACTTACAGACGCCCAGCTACTTAAACATGCCATTCGACTAAAGCTAAAGCCCCGACTCTCTCGTTTCTCCACCTTGCTTAGGAATTTTCCGAAGGGTTTTTCCATTTACTTGCATGCACCGCACGTTCTCCTCTTTTTTTGGCTTCACACCTTCTTGTTGCTCTCATTTACACCTCAATTTGATTCTATTTCCTGCGTTGCGTCAGACATTTGGACGGGTTTTCGTTGCCAACAAGCTAACAAGGCCGGCGATGATGGCTACTTGAGCCCGGAATCTACCACTTTGAGTATCCCCTAATGATGTACTGAATTCAGAGTGCAAGAGTAAGCCGCTTCCGCCATTCATGGTAATGATCTGCTTAAGACCCGTCAAATGCACTGCCATTCTGGCTGGCTTCAATGGACGAAAGTGAATGGCTGATTTGGCGAGTGCAATGCAGCTCTGCATTCAAACAAAATTCATTTGCTGGCTCATCCTTCATTACGGTGCCAGCTCATTTGCAACGCACTCCCGGTCTAATCTTTTAAGACATGGTTTTTATGCCAAGTAATCAAATCATTAGCACTCATTACAAGCTGCTTAATTAATAAATCATTTCACGTTCCCGGCGAAAACCCCATTTATCGTGGTCCTTTCGCTTTTCCTCTGTTCTGTTTGGATTTCTTTTTGCCGTCAAAAGGAAACGGCTAATGATGCATAAAAACTAAGCGGGGCGATGTCAGCACTTTTCAGCAGTGTTTAACTGCGGTTTTAAATAGCCAGTGGTAAAGTTCTATTAGCCGTGATTTAAGTCAACAAAATTGAAGGAGATTAAGCCAATGTGAGATGTTAATTAATTGGACGTTTATCGTGGGGAAAAGTTTACATTCGCTTGAAAAATGTAACAGATGAGATTTAATAATTAAATGGGATTAATTGATAGTTAATGCAAAATAATTATAAATATTTAGCAAATGCATTTGAGGACAGGGCTTGATTCAAAAGTGATTAAAGTTTGTTTTGGACATTTTTTATTTCAACACTTGCTATCAAACTACACAATAATATATTTGTTAATTTTTCTCACCTTATATGAACCCAGATTCTTGACGGAACAGCCGAGTTTAACATTACGTCCAGCAGGTACAGTTACGTTTTCGATGTATTCAGTAAATTCGGGTTCTTCGACGACAACTGTAAAACATGGAATATCAAAAAAGGACGTTAAAAATAAATTCATTTTAATTTAGTGCATAAAATATTTATTTAATTTTATTCCTATTTGACTAAGTTCTATGTCAATATGCCGCTCATGAATTTGCATAATCAAATAAACCATAAAAATCAATTATGCGCGCAAAATTAATTGTAAAAATGTTTCTGGATTTGGCCGCGGGTGAAGAAGAGGTGGCAGCGGTACGAAAAATGGCATTCGGTGGTGCAAAATAATTATTTCATTGATTTTTGCGTTGACTCATTATTCCGGCTGCTGTACGGAAATTTGCCGGCGGGAAAGTCGAACAACAATAAATATGTACAAATATAATTAAACACATGTTCGTGCACACAGAACGGCACGGACAAACAGCCGTATTGTGAATTTCACTTAAATATTTGCTCCAAACATCAACAAGTTAAACTCTTTTTTGCAACACTCGATGCGTTAATTTTCACTTGCTGCGAGTGCTGCATTCATTAATGTTTTAATGACCGTACAATATTGCCGAAATGCATTTAAATAGTGCTTTGAAAGCAACTGTGAAAATTCCTAACAGCATTTACTTTATTATTCAGACAAATATTGATAGTCCACAGGCAACAGGAGGGCAACGGGGAATTGACTTAGCTTCATTCATTTAGCTGCTAATTTAGTTGAGCTAAGCAAATATTTAATACAGAAATTCAATTTTTGTTTGCTTTGAGCATGATAGCCTAACGAAATAGCTTTGGCAATTCAATTAAACTGTTTGAGTAGCAATTATTTAATCGCATTCCTGAAAAGGCAACAATTATGCATAACAAATCACACAATTTAAATGAACCCGAAATGCGGTTTTCTATGCTTTTTAGTATGAGTTGGAATTAGGCAAATGTAGTAAGTTTTTGTAAATGTGTGTACAATATAATTTAGTTATTAATTTAATAGCAACAGTATTAAGTTTATTAAGTTTTCAGTACTTATTTTGTGTACACATTAAGCGCTAGTCGCTGATTCAAAATAAAACTGGGCGAGCCACGAATTTTCATTAAAATTCACATTGCCTCAATTTCTATTTGGGAAACTTAATTTTAGGGTCCAGAAATGGTTTCGAACTACTGCTTTTGCTTAATTAGCTATTTATGACAGACGATGTGCCTGCCAGTCATACATATGTGTATATGGTATATGTACAATATAAACTCAAACGGCTACATTTCCCCATATATAGAGTTACATATTTGTCGAATTGAAATGTGCACAAGTCAATAGAATTTGGTTAACTCCACATGGCCATGGGCGATGCAAACAACATGCCAAACACTCCGCCTTTTTGGCCACTCCCCGCAGGACAGGCGAACTAATTATGAAACAATAACACAAGGGTTGCATAAATTGGTAAGAGTAGCTATCTGTTTTTTCCGATCAGTCAATTAATTATTGTCCGTTTTGTTTGGCCTTTAAATGAGCCCGAACAAAATGGTTATCAATTTACTGTTTGTCGACTAGATTTTTTAATCGAAAAAAACAATATAGATAAATTTGAATAACTTACATTGTCTTTAATATTTCGCAATTTAAGGTAATATTTTGAGGACTATCAAAGGCTGTCAAATCATTTGCTTAAGAGCCACTTTGTTGTAAACACTTTATCAAAATATAATAAAAAATAAATTTTTTTTTTTTGTAGTAGACTAATAGTGACAAAAAACCCAAAGCCAACACTGTGACCTCTTGTTGCAAGTCGAGTGTTCATCGTTTACGCAATGGCAGTGGCATGGCGGAAAATGGTCTGCATAATCATGGGATTTCATCCAGCTGCAATTTTCGCGCCAGAGCGCGTGTCTGCATATAAATTTTGTTGAGGTCTCAGCCGTCCGCCACCATGCCACCATGCCACCACGCCCCCAAGCCCACACGCCTCTACGCCCACACGACCACGCCCTAAAACAAAGACAACAAACAATCAAATGAAAATTCTGATAGTGATGACAGTTTGCAGAGAAAGTAAGTATGCGAATTTTAAAAAAATGTGTGGCGAATGTTTCAAACCCATTTTTATTTTTTCTAATTTTTATTAAAATTAGCTTAAGTAATTTCTCAAACGACATTACAGTTCAAGCTTTACAATTTTTGTATCAAGTATTAAGAAACACATTTATTTTACTCCTTAAGTTTTTAAACTTTATTTAAGGACACTAAGGATTAATTGCAATTATTTTACATTTATTATTCCTCAAATTCGACCATTGTAACCATTTGTCCTCATTGAAAAGGACACACGATATTCATTTGTTTAAAATAATGCACCCATGCATATCGATATCACCACGAATTCATGCTTCAACTAAATATTCAACACTTAATTGAAGTTGATATTGCATTTTTGCCTGCATAGCTGAGGTGCTCGAGTCATGAATAAATTCGCAGCTTGCAATGCATAAATACGCTGGCTATAATATTGGCCATCGGCAGTTGAGACTAAAGTAAAACGGGAATGAAAAGCGAATCAGCGGGAGGATTTCTTTCAGGATGAGGATGTGGGAAGAGGATGAGGTGGATGTCGCCTGTTGCGACATAAATTGCACTGCCTGAATGAATTTTGCGCGCAGTTAAACGGCATTACTGCCGTTGTTGCTTCTGTTCCTGCCGTTTTTGCTGTTTGTGTTGTTTTTGTTGTTTTTGTTGCTTTTGCTGGTTGCACCTGAGAACAATGACAGCCGGCATTTGCAGGAGTTGAGTGGTGGATCGGAGTTGGAGGCGTGTTAACCCCGCGGCTCTGTCACCATTCCGGATTTATTTTTCGCCATCACACGGATCACATGAGCACACTCAGAACTATTTTACTTGAGGTCGGAAATGCATTTCCCACTTTAAGCTATGATTAAATAAAAAAATTTAAACAACAAATAAAAGTTTTCCTGGACTTTAAATATGATTTTAATTATAACAGCAGACTTTTTCTATTATAAATAATTCTTCATAGATTTGTTGTGATTTCGACTTTTAAAGGCAGCTCTGTAGAATGACAAAATGCTTTTTATTTATATGTTATGTCGACTGTTGTGTAAAAAAATATGTATTTGAACTACGTATTTCCTTTACGATCCTGTTTCAGATATTTTTTTTTGGGTGCATGAGGATATCTGTGAACTGATACCTATGCTCTCACTTCTGCCCTGGTGGCTTTCAATTTTTGGCATAAAGCGTTGTATCACCTTTGCCCTGGGGCTCCCCACCCTTCAATCCGTGGGTATTTGTCCCCCTTCCCCCATTTGTCTGTGCAAATATGATTGGCTTCTGGGGCGTTGGTCGCCTACTTGGTATCAGGGTGTTATTGATGGCATCAAGCAGCGGGAGTCAGAAAGCAGCCAAAAGGCAATCGCGGATGAGGATAGAGTGCGATTGCAGTATTTACACTGTGAACATGGTGTTTTACTGAATGTTGGTAAACAGCGGGGAGCCAATAAGGGTGCCAATAAAAGATATCAAGAAACAGATTAAAGGGGTTTTTGGTGAACTAGAAATTGATCTACTTTTATTTGATTGATTTACCATTTATTGAAAAAGTTATATCAACGTAGAAATTATTTGTATTTCTTATGTAGACATAATTTATTAAGAGAGGTTAGGTAAGATGAAGTTCATCGTTTCTTAAAAATGTTATACTTATTTTGATTTGATCAATATACCATTTAATAAAAAAATGAAATAATACCAACAAATTTAAAATAAAACTTTTCCTGTTTTTGTGCATATTTATTGAACAATTTCCTTTTTAAGTTGTTTATTTGCTCCGCAGTGTAATTTTACTTGAGTTTAATATTCATTTAGATGTTTCATGTTAGATACTCACTGTTTAAATTCGAGGTCGGCACATTGGCCCCGCCTCCGGCCACAATCACGCCATTGCTCCCGACCACGGTGCTGCCGGTTCCACTGCCAGCCACAGGTCCTGCTCCTCCGCCTCCTCCTCCTCCCGATCCCACTCCCCCTTGTCCGCCGTGGCTTGGCACCGCTCCAACCGCTCCAACTGTCTTGGAGCCGGACGGATGTTTGCCCGGGGCAATTCCAATGCCCCCGCCGCCGCCGCCGCCGCCGATGCCGCCGTTGAGAATCTGCGGCAAGATGATCTTGTTGGTGGAGTCCCCCGCTGTTGCCGCGAGCACGAGGAGGGCCCCAATTAGATGCCAGGACGGGGGCAACATCAACTTGCCGTTGCGGTCGACTCAGCCACAGCCAGGAGCCCCAAGGTTGGCCTCGTCTCCTGGCCAAAGTGCATCCTCTCGGATCTACGCGCTCAGTTTTTACCACCTCTCCTCCGTTTTAGTTTTTTTTTTCGAAACGCCAAGGGGTTTGTTTGTGTTTCGCTTTTGCTCGGAGTTTTTCACACGGTTTTGTTATCGCAATTTTTGGCTCGTGGCAATTACCAAATTTAAGATTTTTCGTTTCGCTTCGTTTTTTCCTTGGGCAATCACTTATAATGTGTTTTGGTTAGACAAAGCCAATCTTGTAAGACCATTTTGCGTAGCAGAATTTTAAACCTATAATGTTGTTAAATAAAAAAAAAAGAGTATTTAATTTGTATTTTTCCTTATTTAAAAAAAAATACAAGTTAAAGTTAGGTCTTCTCTGTTAGTCTTTCTTAAGAAAAATAAATAATTAATGTGTTTTTATGATCCAAAAGAAATACAAAATTTTAAATTTCAAAAAGTATAAGGTGTTTTGTTACTCTTTTTAAAGAGGTTGAGTAGTTTTCTTCCAATTTTCAATTTGGACTCTATTCCAGCGGTACATTTCCATTGGCCAAACGCAAAAGGAATGCAAAAATAGAGCCTTAATTCTCGAGTTTTCCATTTGACTTTAGCACCCATAAATTTGCTTTCAATGCACTGGATTCCACTTTTCTGTTCCTGTTCCCTGCCCAATTGTTTGCTGTCTAGTAACTTTCAACGCGTGCACACAGATGCCATGCAGATTTGCTGGGGAATTCAATAAAGTTTGGCAAAATATTATGCCATAGAGCCGCATGCTAGCTGCCTGCCACGCCCCCCTTGCGTAGGCGGTTCGCACGTGTTGCAGCAAAGTTTAAGCCACCGAAAGGAAAAAGGGCCAACGGAATAACCGAAAAGTCATAAAGATTTCCCTCACAAGCAGCAACTTGAGCGCCCTCTGGCGGGCAGTTGATAAATGTTCATGTTTTATAGGCTTTATCTCCGCACAAAATTAAAAGTCGGCTAAGGCCTAACCGGAATTTAAAAAACTACACATTTTTTATCTTTGAATGCAAAGGTACTAGACTCTGCGAACTTTGGGAAATAAAAGTTTCCTTACCACATGTGCAGACAGCCAACTTATGCCAATTAATTTAAATGCTCTTTTCATTCGTTGTTTATCTTAAGTTTTGGTTGCTGGTTTTGCTCCTTCTCTAACTGTTTTTTTTCTTCAAACTTTTCAAACTTTATATTTTGTCAATTTTGTAATAACTTAAGTTGCTCTAAAAGAAATGTGTACAGCATTCCATGATTGGCATAAACTGCGTTTCATTTGTACACTTTTCAAAAATGTACTACTTATAATTCTTTGAATTGTGTTTTAACAACTTATTTAAGTGTTCTTGCTGTGAACTCTAAGAATTCAAATAAATTATAAAATGTTCCAAGGATAATAACGAACGAAGATATACAATAGTTTGTAATAAACTGTAAACAATGTTTACCGATTTCAGTCACAAATTGTTTTTACTACTTAGCATGACGAATTCTAATCCATAAATACAAATCTTAGTTTCAAAATCTATTTCCAACCGCACTTTACGCTATAGCTATGTCACGTACATCCCCTTACTCCGTTTGTGTTGCTTCTCGGCCATATCATCCAAAACTTTCTCTTGGAAAATTTTATTTTTTATGGCTTTTAAGCGTGTCGCCATCAGCTTTTTGTGGGGTCCACACGCAGCTTGGCAAACACTTACACAGAAACAGAGAGACAAAACTTTTTCCCTTATGACTGGCTTATGAAATTAAGCAATTTTTGGCGCCGAGCTCCTCCCCCATCAGCAACTCACACATGATGAAGCTTTTCTGGTATGGACCAAAACAGATTTACCATCAAAAACAAGAACAAGAAGTCCAACAAATTTTATGCACTTTTTTATGAGTTCGGCAAAGTGTTTGTAATTAAATTAATAAATTGTTTGGGGGAGAAACTTGTTCCGCATGTGTTTTGCGTTCTTCTTCCTTTATTTTTGTGCTAGGAAATTAAATTTTAATGAGGCTATTTAGTGTGTGTTTGGCTTTGGCTTTTTCTGTTTTTCAATGATAACTTTTTGTAAAACAAATTGTCTTCTAATTGTTGTGGGTTTTAGAAGGCATAACTAAACGGATGTAAGTGGAAATCTCTCAGTGTTTGGTTAAGAGTAAATGAATTTTAAATTTGTATTTTGTTTATGTTAATAGCGGTCTCATGCCAATTATGGGGTTTTAAAGTGTGTACTCAAAATGCCACTGCTGTTTTGTCTATCTGGGCTTTAAATTATTTAAAAGGTATTGTGTAAACAATAATAAGCCTTGACAGCCACTGTCCTCCTAATCATCAGCCTAAGGAAAATGGTCCCTGTCCTCGGGCGATTTTACCTAAGCTTCGCTAAATACTTGACAGCTTTTTACTTCCATATTGTCATGGCAATGGGAAGGTGGAAGGCTATTTGAAAAACGTTGAAAAGAAGGGAAAGGGAAGATAAGTATTCATGTGGCCTAATGTATTTATATTAAACAGCCCTTTAGGTAAATAAATCTTGAGTGGGCGTTAAATAAAAATATCTTGTTTTAATGCGAATAAATAAAAATTAAAAATAAATTTAAAGTATATTAAATTTGATCAATTTTATACAAATAGCATTGTAATTTTTTTTACATGATATTTTAAACCATAAATATTTTTATTAAATATTTTTTTTTGGAAATGTGAATATACAAGTCTGTATTTAAATTAATTTATTTCCAATATTGATAGTATAATTTTAATGAACTGATTTTATAAACAAATAAATTACTTTACTCAATTTAAGCAAACAATGCCTTCATACCGTACAGCATAAAACCATTCATCTACCACATTAATGCATCAATACATTCTCACTTTTGATCAAATTCCTATCACACATCATATCCATATTTTTGTCATCATCATCAACAGCATCATATTTTTGCAATTTTGTTTGCTTTCCTCTGCGCAGTTTGTAAAGTTAGTGCAGCAAACGACAAACCAAATTCGAGCAAACAAAACGAAACAGAGCTAAACTGGCAAAAAGAGTTCAAAAAGGGTAGAAATAAATAAAGAGGCAATAAGCCCTGCACTGACGACAAAAAGTTCTGAAACAGCTGACATCGAGGAGAATCCTATCCTTCTCATTCTTTGTGTGTTTACGTGTCTTACTCACACTGCACAAGCGCTTCGTATATATATCGCCATTGATCTGCATTGATGCTTGAATACAAAACAACTAGGATTACAGTGAAGACTGAAGCAAGTATAAAATAAGTCAATATAAAAACAACTGATCGCCATTTTAAAGTTAGCCTGTTAAACCCCTTCATCTTATGGCTTAAAAAATTAGAACAAAAGTATAGCTTAATAGTTTTTTAAAAAATAATAAATAAAAGTTAATTTAAACTGGAAGACAGCAAAAAGTGTCGCAGATTCTTAAAGAATTTTATCTTTGGGTTATTGAATTAAAACTTAAATCTTTCAACGCGCCATAGTTTAATTAAAAAATGCTGCTTTTTGATTGGGTTGCAATATTTTGTTTTGTTTTTGTTGTTCAATTTTTTTTCGAATTTTGTAAACATAAAAATAAAGTTAATTATAGTTTTTGGCTTGTTTTTTCTTTGAAGCTTAAATCTCAGTTAATAGTGCGGAGGTAAGAAGGTTAATTTGTTTTATAGTCCTTATTTGTACCATAATTTATCTCTATTATATTTAATATTTTTCTGTTGCCTTTTTGTACGTAAATAATATATTTCTCTAAATACATTATTCAGTGTAAAATATTTGCTTCCTGCTGTTTTCAGCACTGCATAAGCTTTACTTTACTCTCACGCGCTGACTCTCTCTATATCCTGGCCCATTACGTATGCAAGTTTGCAGCAGTTGGCAGACGGGTCCTGGCCCCCTTTCCTTTTCCCGGCATTTCCCAATCCCCGCTTCTTGCCATGTATGCAGTGGGTTAATGTATTTTTAAGCTAAATTCTTTGTTTATATTTGCTTTGCTGTTTTCGGTTGTGTTTGTCTGTCGTGCGTTGCGTTGCAGTGGCAACAACTGGAGTCCTTTATCAATCGCAACGAAATTCCCCTTCAACTTCTTTTTGCGAGTTGTCCCAAAGTGAACTCCAGTGGATTCATTTATTCGGTTATAAGTTTGTTTCGGAATTTTTCAGGGATTGAGGAGTTGATCTGTGTGTGCCTGTTTGCCGGCATCAGGACTTCGAGGGTCCTGGATTTAGTCTCTCTGCTTGTTTACTTTTTGTTGGCATGAAATGTGCATTAGCAGAGTTAACAGTTAATTGTTTACACATTTCGAGTGCCTCACAAGTGTCATGTGAGTGTGTGGTCTGGATTGTAGTTGTGGCTAACGTTAAAATAGGTTTCAGTTATTTTAATGGTTGTTTGAATAACTGGCACTATGATGAAGCATAGAACTATATCGGTTTTTTAAACTGATAAGCGGGCTAAAGTCTCATTTCCATTTTTATTGTTACTTTTCAAAAGTAAAACTGAATTTTACGTTTTAATAACCCTTATATTGTTATTTGAATTTCGATTGTTTTTTCGAGTTTTTTTATCCTAATCCGTGATTGGGTAATGTAAACGTTCTTTCTATTCCAAACTCTATTTAAATTTTTTAAAATACATGTTTTCTAACGTATATTTCTTTTAACCTTTATAAAAACTTTAATTAAAAAATATGTCCGTTAAATAAAAACTAGTTATCATAAAAATTATATATGCTACTTCAATAAAAATATTTTTAATTAAACCCAAAATAAGTTGGTTAAATTAAAAAAGAAATCGGTACTAATATATTGTTCCTAAGAAAGAAAATAATGTTATGTTATTCTTAAATCTTTAATTATTTTTGTATTCTTAAATAAATAGTTTATATTAATCCTCAAACAACTTCTGTTTCAACAAATGTGTAGGTTTGAAAACATTGTAAATCGATTAGACTGTTTTTGATCTTACAAACTTTTTAATTATCAAAAAGCAGAGCCACAAATAATTTTTTAGTTAGTAGTCATTTTGCACCACAGCAATCGTAGCACGTTAGGTCAGATTCTCCCACTTTTTCACCGATCACATTGCACTTGAGTACGACTTTCCGTCAGCCAGGATCATTCACTCGCGGTTTCAGGTTAACAACTGTGATAAAAACGCGTCCGCTTCGTGCAGAATCCGTAGCGAAACTGATTTTCCGACGCCACTTAATGCTCGCACAGAGCCCGGCTCTGGCTTTTCCGCCAACAACAAGAAAAGAAAATCCAACGAATGAAAAGTGCTGTTACGTATACGCCGCGTTGGACGAGTGATAACAGGCCGGGACGAAACGACGGCCGACAGAGCGAGCCGAAGTTGAGCTTCGGCTTAAGCCAACCAAAGGACGCAGGATGCTGTTCATTGGTAGTTGTTGTTGGCCATGCCCGGCATCCTGGCCGTGTTCTGGGGGCTTGTAGTTTGCGTGCAACCGCAACCACAACAACAGACCGCAAAACACGCGACAAAAATGTTAACAGAATCCACCCGGCAACACCGTTCCCAAAAACCACCTCTCGATGTTCGAGTTGCAAGCCAGTTTCGCTGTCGAACCTTTTGGTTGTTCCACGCGAACCCTTTTAATAATAATCGAATCAAGCCAAATTAAAAACAAAATCAAAACACACATTTTTGTTACTCGCTCCACACGCAGTTGTTGGTCGTCTGCTGCATATTGCGTTTTGGAGGCAAGCTTTTAATTAGACAAGTTAATTAAATTTATTTGCATTTTATTATTTAGCCCTTGTGTGTGTTTTGGGCGAAAAAGTGCAATTAATTTGAGATATTCAATTTGCAAGCTTTGCTTATTCGGGTTTCGCTGATGCAGGACAACCTAATTGAGGGTGTTAATTGCGTTTCATGACTGAGTGAGTTAGCAAAGTTCGACAATCGGTAGGAAGTTTATCCAGGAAGTTGTTTCTGGAGTTAATAAACTATTACTTGCTTTTCTATCCAAGCGAAGAGTATTTAAAATTTTATTTCATTTCATTTTATGTTTAAAGTAATATTTGTTTCGCTAAATGACCACCAACCACCATTGGTGGTTGTGTTCTTTTTGGGCTTCCAAACTAATGAGCTCTCTAAAACAGTTTAGCCAGGAACTGTTAACAAACTTGGTCAGAACCAATCTTCCTTTTAAAGTTTTCTCCTAAAGAAGTACAGAACAGTATATAGTTATCTATGGGAAAACAGGGAAAGCAGTTTGTAAACGGAAATGTATGTGAGATGGAAGTGATAAAGTCTCCCGGTTGACCGTACTGAACTAGCTTAATGAACTCTTCCAAATCACAGACATCGCTCAATGCCAAAAACATTAAAACTGACAAGGCTAGACGGTAGACAAGATGACTGCCCTCTGAACCCTTCTCTTGAGGGACTTCCCCCCTCTCACCCCCTCTCACCCCCTCTACCACCCACACACACACATACACCGGAGGAAAAACGTGCATCGTCGGTGGGAAAGTTCATTGTGAGGCGATTCCCAGAGGTGCTGGCCTCCAAGTGGGCGTGGTCGACTGTTGCGCCAGCATGTGACCAAAACAGGACATGGGAATGGGGGAGTGGGTGTGAGAGGGGGTTAAAGGAGGCGGAGGCGGAAAGGCCACAAAGGTCGTTGCAACACATTCGCTTCGTTGGGTCAAAAGTCAAGCGGTGGGCGGGGAATCCCCTTGGATGCCAGCCATTACAACACTTTGTTGGCTGCTTTGTAAAGTTTTTTCCACCATGGAAAAGTTTTTTTCCCCTTCCTCAGTCTTTTTGTATTTTTCACGCCTTGTCCGAAAGTTTCCTGTTTTTTCTCCCTACTTGTTTTGCTATTTTTTCCTGCTGCTGCCTTAACAATGAAATTTTTGACTGCTGATTGTTTGATGTTCAATGTTATTCTTCCAGTTCAATGCGAGTTAAAGTAGACAGAGCCTTACCAAAAATAAGAAATAAAAAAAATGGAGCCAGGCGGAAATGGTGGACCTGGTTTTCTGGTACTTAGCAAAAGTCTGCAGCAAATTGAAAATGGAAAGTTTGCTTCCTGTTTTCCCGTGTAGATATATTCACAATTCCTTTTGCAGTTTGTCTGCGACTTTGGTTAAGTATATCTGGCAGTCTGGTCTTTGTGCTAAGGAGTGTCCAAATGAGGTAAAATAGTTTGGGGAATACTATCGAGAAAGTTTTTCGCTGCTGCGTCTGGCAAGATTTATACTCGGGATATTGAAGTTTACGAAAGAAAACAATGCATGCGAAAGAATTCGGTCGAGTAATAAAACAAGATTTAAGATGAGAATCGAAAGTTTAATGAAGGAATATTTGTAGACCCTTTTACGGGGGCAACAAACGTAATAACGTCACGTATTGTGAGGGATGAACAAACCGCAGGCTGACGTCGCATTTCCATTTTCCCAGTCAAGGCGAAAATGGTACGGAATCAAAACTGACTTCCCGTGAGCATGCATTCATTTTTCCAGCAATTTTCACACCCAAGCTGGCATGCACTTTACTGCACAACCCCCTTCTCCCCTTTCCCCTTTCCCTCAACTGGATCCCCCTCGTTTTATCTGACAGCTGCACTTACGCAATGTTACGCATAAGTGCCCTCTAGAACCTAGCAAGTAGAGCATTTTTTATTTCACTTTTGCCGGCAGTCGATGAGGGCTTATTATTCGAGAAAATATTTGTGTTTTCACTCCACTTAGAACGAAATACTGATATGGTTAAGGATGTTCGATGTAGTTAGTTAATTTTAGATCCTAGTAAGCCTATTAGTTACTTGCCTGAAAAAGGGGAAATAGATTTAATTCAGGGATTCTTCAAGCTTGAAAATATCTGTTCTTTTATTACACGATTTAAATAAAATATATTCTTAATATTCTTAATTTGTTATACAAACTAATTTTTCTTTTTTATAATTTTGGAAAGATTTATTTGCGTAAAAACTTATTCAAAGTGTAGCTCGAAAAAATTCAAGCGAGCGCAGACAACAGAATGTCATGCCATTTAAATACCGACAGCGTATGAAAAATTGAATGGCATCTCTTTACATTTAAAACCGGCGAGAAGTATGTCCTGTCATCGTGGCAAATAAAAATTAGCATTTCCATCGGTTGTCAATAGGCTGACGCTGTGCCCAAAATCTGTCTGCACTTTATTAGCAATCATGACTAAGCGCGTCTGATGAAACTTTTTCACCACTGACAAATTGACTTGCCACACGGCCTAAAAGCGAGCTGCCACGATGTGCGGCTAATAACTCAATAAAGGAAGTCATGCCCTAAACCATCCGTCGCCACCTTCTGCGGATTTCCTTTGTGGCAAGGCAAGTTTAAGCCGATTTCCGCTTGTTTGTCACACAATTACAATTTGTCAGTTGGGCTTAGGTCGCCGGGATTGCCTTTGTCCTCCGCCTGATTGGCTGGAAAAGGTATACATATATATAAAGGTCTAATAAGGGATAATCGGGTAGAACGAAAAGCAGAACCGGATAAGAAACAGATGTTATTTAAAAATTTAATACGTAAGAATTTGCATAGCTTAAGATTATAAAAGAAAAGAGAAAGTAATTGTTATTCGTTTTAGTAAACGTGTATTACTGTCTATATTACTTATATTAAAATTGTTCGAATATTTCATAAAATTAAGTATGTATAAGCTAAAAACTCTTGACTTTACAAAACAATTTATGAAAAACGTCTCTTGTAAAGTTGACTTTTAATGATTAACAATAAGAAATGGTTTCAGGGCATGTCTTAAAATTTTATAAACTTTCTACCGCAGCAATTTCAAGTGAATTGTAGACCATCGATAACCAGTACAAATTGGCTTTATATGGCCAGGCTGAAACGCCTACAGGCTTAATGACCGCACGTATAACATCTTGTCCTGCGGTCACCATAAATAACACAAAAGCGCATTTGTCATACGACCTCGCTCCACCTCGAATCCCGATCCCCGATTCCTGTTTCCCATTTCCCATTTCCCGAATACCGAATCCCGATTCCCACACCACAGCCATTCACCTTTTGGCAAACTGCAGTCCTTGGCCTTTGTCCTGGACGTGTTGGGCTGTAAATCAGCTCATTAGTTAGTTGGCAGCACCTCGAGTTCGGCTAAGACCGGTCTATGAGTAACACGTAGCTGCTGATCCAGAGAGAAAAATAAATCGGGTACTAAAAACATTTATGAAGTTTGGTTAATTTAAATGATTTTAAACCTAAGCCTTTTTTAGCTCTATTTTTTAATAGCCTTTCTAGTTTTTATACGCAGCTTCGTTTAGTTAAAATTTGTTTACTTTACATACCAACATCTGTCAAAATGTAAGCCATAAAAACTAGTTAAAATTAAATATAAAATTATGAAAAAATATGAAAGCTTGATGAACTTTAGATTAATGACGTAAGTAAGGGTGTTATATTTTTTCAATTATTTTTTCTGCCTGTGTAGTTGCTTGTGGCTTGTGCGGCCGCTCGTTAAGCTTCATTTAATCAAAACAAAAGTTGGTCTGGTGAAAAATTACCCCATACACGGGAGGTAAGCGGCAGGCTAAAATGCCTCTTTGAATGCTAATAAATCTCGTTCGGTGCGTGGTAGGGATGCCTATCAACGCTTAAACCCGACCTTTGGCAGCGGGAAATATAATTTAAGCGGCCAAATATCTGCGAAAGTTCTTGGCCGAAAGTTTCTCGAACGGACCGTTCTGCAGAATCAGAGTCGATGGGATTTTCTTTTTAGTTGATGATAGCCAGGAGTTAAGCCAATGAAGAATCGGATTGATGTGGGTGAGTGTGTGGGAGTTAATGAAGCACGCCGATTGGGGGTTCAGAGGTCGAGCGAGAGAAATATGGCAAGTCAGCTGTCGATTAAGTTTAGTGTCTGATGATGATTGTTCCTGGGGGTCGTGACCCCATTGCTGATTGCCCGAGTCCACTTTCAAGTGGGTGTGCTGTTATTGTTTGAAACTAATCTTTAAAGATCATTAGCTTTGTTCCCAGCAACTTTTCATAACAATAATAATTTGCCAAATAACCCTTAGGGGAATCCAAAGGGTAAGGAGTCCGCACATTAATATATATTATAAGGAGTCCGTGAGAGATGGCCGGCTGTAATGACGTCAAAGTTGTCAGGGGGTTTTTCATATTGTTGCCCTTAACATTAACCTTACCTTTTTGTGCCTGCCCCCGTTTCACTATGATAATGATAATGAGCATAATGGCGGCGTGTTGGAGGGGTCAAAGGTGAGTGGAGAGAGAGAGCCTCGCTGATGACTCGGAGCTACTTCGAGTCCGCTAATCTTAATTACTTTTGTTTAATTACTTTGACGTCCTGCCCGCGACCATGACAAGCCAACTTCCTTTCGTTCCGGCATTGTTTCACTTTGAAACGCTCGGGGATATGCAACGGCTTTGGCTGCTTCCTTTAAAATAAATAATGTTTACTTATTATTTTGGCTGAAAAAGAAGGAAGGTAAAAAAGAAACAAGTGAAAACTTTGCGCAGTTAACAAAAGAACCCGCGATGTACCTTTTGCCACAAGACAAATAAGGGCCACATGCTCTTAGGCGTTTTTGCAACCTGATTGTTCGTACCTGACCTAAGGCACTCGGTTAAAAATTCCGGGAAAATACTTATGTATTTTGTAAACTAATTTAGAGATTAAAATCTTGACCCAACAGGGAAACGCCAAGGGGCTTGGCTCCCTCGGAAAAACCAAGCCAATTAGCATAATAATGTTGATTTTTATTGTTTCGCCAAAAGTTTTGTCATTGACTTTGGTCAATGTTTGTTCAGGGCCCCTTCCTTCGGCAAACCTCTGGTTTGCCCTGAGGTTATGATAATTTAAAGTGGCTGACTTTTCGTGAAATTTGTCACGCATAAATGTCAAAGCTGGAGAGGTCTTATAGCGCTCATGAAATCGTTTGATGGCACATTAAGTGTCTGCTTTATTTGTGGGCCTGCCACAAAGTGTGCACTAAAACTTGTATTCTTCTGCCGACAAATTATTTATGAGGCCAGTCAAAATCACACAAACTGAAACCAGAAAGACGTCAGCAAAGTGGCCAATATAAATTCCAAAGAGGCGAACAAGCAAATATACACAGGGGAGAAATGCAACTATTTTTATTATTTGGATGCTCATTTGTGGATGCTCTTTGTTTTCAGAAGATATATTTTAACAATGATATTTAATCATATTAATATATCAAAAAATATTTTTACATAATTAACCAATATATATATAATATTTATAATGAATTGTCATAGTAAGGAAAACTGTCAGTTGTTTAAACTCATGATTTAAATACTGTATTAAAATATAATGTATACAAATTTTTAAATGTTACCATTATATGCTTTCAAATGACTTGGTAAGTTTAATATTCTCAACTGGTAGAGTGACATTCCACCCACGCTACCTCAGAATGTGTTTTATAAGCCATGGCCCTCAAAAGTATGCAGTAAATGTTAAGGCCAAGCTGAGCCAGGATGGCAGACCGAAAGCTTATGATGTGTTTAAAAGCCAAGGGAGTCGGAGTCAGCCAGCCAGCTGCAGGAACTGTGCAAATGTTTTTGTGGAAAACCTTTAAAGCGTAAGGAGCAGAAACGCCAGCAGGTGGCTAAAACCCTCGTTGAACCGGCTTGCTTTGACTTATCACTTCGGCAGACTGACATCCAATTGATATGTTTATCAGTTGGCGAAACTCCAAGTAAGCTGTTTAAAAGATTTCGAAGTCGTTAAGAAGAAACGAAATTTTCCAAGCTACTAAATAAATTATTTTTTCCCAAACGGAAATTGCCAATTCGAAGATGGTGAACCAGATAACTATTGTGGCCGTTGGCCTGCTGCAAGTGTTTGGCATATCCTTTTTCGCTTCGCAGCCAAAGGATCAGTGCTCCCCAGCTCCTGCAATCGGAAGCAAAATCTTCCTGCTAAGCGTCCTTATGCTTTTTTGGGATTCCGAGATGATTCCGAAGAGATTCAAGAAGTACTCACCGAAACTTTTTGAAGTCGGCGATCTTTTATTCACGATCCTGTTTACCGAACTTTTTGTGGTGCTGGGTTGGTGTGAATTCGAAAGGATAACGTTCCGATCTGTTGGACTGATTTGCCGCGGAAAGTTCTGGTGCGAGTACGCAATGATGACGATATGCAGTATTTTAGCAGCCACTGCGTCGCTTTGCATTGTAATCGAGATCGTGTGTCCTGACAAGATGAAGAATTCCATGGGCGAGGTCCTGGGCAACCTGCCGGTTCCCAAGGGTACTGGTCCCATGTTTGAATACCTCCAGGATATGCGAACTTATGTGCTGTGTGCCATGTATTTCTGCCAGTTGACTAGAGAACAGCGTTTGCTTTCCGTACGAGCCTTTCAAATGCAAGTCCTGCGCTCCAAGATTCCATTGCAGAAAGATCCTGGTGAGCTTGATGTCCTGAACGTGGGAAGTCAAGTGGAGGAGGAAAAACCGGACAACGAGAATAAGCCGACAGAACCGGAACTCCAACAGGAGTTGTCCCCGTGAATTGTTTATTATTTATACAAATTTATGCCAACAGCTGTTGCTATCGCCGGCCTTATTGTTGTCGTCCTTTCTTTCGTTTTTTTTTTTTTTTTTTTTTTTGGAAGGAGTGGGAGAGGTTTGGTGCCTTTCATTTTTCGATTTTCCAGAGGATTCGGTCCTCCCTTTGTTTGCTTTTCATTTTTTGCTTCAACTGTTTTCCTTGTGGTGGCCATTTTAATTTTCGCCTTTTTTCCTTCCCTCGCCGTCGACGTTGTTGCCATGTTAGCCGCAATTGATTTGCCGTAAATTGTATTTTTAATCTGTCCGACAAACGTTCGACATTCGATTTCGGTTCGGAATATGTTGAAAGCGATTCTGTTTGTATTTCCTTCGTGGTTGGGGGAAGGTGGCAGTGGCATTCAGGGGGGAATTGGGTGTTAATGAGTGTGTCAAGGGTGCTATTTATTCGTCGGCAATTGACAGTGAGCTAAAAGGTATTTTGGTTTACCTAATCTTTGAAATTTTCGTATTATTATCTTACTATTTTAGCTAATAATAAAGTATCCCTATATTAGCAACCTTTAATAATAAAAAAATCTTTTATTTTGAATTTTAATACTTTGATAACTACGTTTAAAAAGCACAAAAAAATAGTAAAATGTAATTTTTATTCTTTAATTTTTTTTTGAATTTTAAACGATTTCCTATTTCAGAACATCGCACAGTCAACACAAATATTTACAGCAATTTATTTGTAGATTTTTAGATGCAGTCGATTAAATTGCAAATTCATCAGTGGGTTGCCCATCAAAGAGCGGGCCAATAAAAATAAAGTGCCAGAAAAACAAGAGTCGAACATTATTTTTGGCAATTGCTTTGGCAATACTAATATGATTGACAGTTCACAGAATCGCATTAATGTCACTCATACGCCACGTTCGCCATCCTGATCCATTCGCAGCCCCACCAATGTTGCTCCAGTGTTGAGTAATTGAATTTGTTCTTGTGTTGATTCGATGTTGATGGGGCTGGAGCTGAATGGGCTTGGAATAGAAGAACAAGGGGAAAGTATATTAAATATTTCACATCTTAGATGTCTGGGGATCAGCAGTAGCAAGTGTGTCCTTCAGGTTTTGTTGGCTGTGTGTTATTTGTCTCAAGAAATCTACTCCATTGTTCGTCTTTCGTTGGGAATCTTGATGAATTGCACAGGGAAACTTTTTATTGTTTTCTCTTTTTTTTGTCTAGCTCTCGAATTTCCGGATAAGTTACCTTGACAAACAAGGGTGTTTTACTCTAGTTTTTGCGTTTAATAAATAGTTGCATCTGAAGTTTTAAAACTATTAAGCTGAATGAATTAAAAATCTTTTTAGTTCGAAGCAAATCTTTATTTTAAAACAGCCCTGTTATTGAACTTATTTACCCTTAAATCTCTCTGAGCTCAAATCCGAGTTGTATATAGCTTAGCAGATTATCTTCACGCAGTCGAAGATAAGTTCCCCCAACATCCATTCCCCCCATTTGGCATTATCCGAACTTAAATGCCAACTGTCGTTACTTGCTCACTGCCCCAGGATGTGTGATAAGAAGGGTGTTTTGGGGGCTTCGAGGGTCCTGTCAACGCAGCGGATGGAGAAGAAATATGTGAGCTTCTGGCGGGCAGCATACATATGTTAGCACATTTTTAAATGTATTTGTGTCAGGCTGAAGTCGTGACTGCAGTAAATTCCTGACTACCCAAAAAATTCACAGAAAACGAAGAATGGCAAACTTGGTAGAAATGAGCATTTCAACATTTTCAACTTAAGCAGAGGAGCGACACAAACACAAAAAAAAAAAAAAGAAAACATCAGACAAGGAAACTGGCAATGCATGTCTGCAATTTTTTAAGCAAACATTTTATTTGTTCAAATGCTAGGAAAACACAAAAACAACGCAGTGGAAATGGAGTGAGAATGGAACTTGAGACACACAACCCACATCAAAAGAGCAACTTCTGCATTTTTCCTGAGTTCTCGTTGCCAATGTTGTTGCTCCTGTTCCTTTAGTTGTTGTTGACTTGCTACTCCTGTTGACATTTTGATACAAATCTTCAATAAAATAAAAGCAGCTCAAGTGGCCATAGCGCAAACAACAAAGAAAGTGGAAGGAGAAGTCTTAGGAAAACAGTCTGGGTAAAGGAACTAAGGGGTATAAACAAAAAATAACCCTAAGTGACTATATAACTCTAAAAACTGGCAAGAAAAGTTGGGTTTATTATTGGTAATATTGGTTTAATAAATTGAGATGAAATGCTTGTTTTGTAAACACGAAATATTTTATGCTTCTTCACCAAAACTCTAAGGACAATTTTGCTTCTGGGGTAGCATAGTGTTGTAATAATAACTAGTACTATTAATTAGTTAGGTGGGACCTTAGGTCGCATTTAACCAACCTGTTAAGCCGAAGTATTTATTGTTTTTATTAATAGGTACTTGAAGTAATTACTTAATGGCTTGTTTAGTGTACATATAACATTTATAAGCCATTCTAGGAGCTCTGGTTTGTTTCTGGTTATTTCAAGTGTCAATGTGCCCACAACTGCTATCTCAAATGGAGCTGAAAGCTGTAAGGATTAATTGGCCGCGACAAACCCTTTCGGCAACCTAATCCCACACCTCAGTTCAGAAAGTCATCCTGTCTGGTTGCGTCCTCAGTGTCATCTGTCCGTGAAATCTTTTTTTCCCTTTTAGGACGACTTGATGTTCCCCCTGCCGGCGTCTGGTTTGGTTTTTGCTTGTGGTCAGGCATATGGCACACAACACAGAACAACATCCTGTCCCACCGCCACACACACAGAGATATACACTCACACACACTCTCACCGGACAATCACGTAACAACAATAGCAAGAACAACCACAACAATACCAGCAACAGTAGCAGCGAAGCCGAACAAAAAGTTGTTAGCCAATTTACTAAATGTCCAGTGTGTGTTGAATTGTTGAAGCTCGTTTGCCGCTTTGTGTACTTTTTCGTGTTTCGTATTGAATAACAAATTATTTGTGGCATATGTTTAGGGGCTCCGAAAGGACCGAGAACAGGAGCTGAGTGGGCGTTAAACGACTTGTTAGCCCGGCAATGCCAGTCATGGATAGTCCGGTGGTCTGACAACTTGTTTGCCCGCCCGAGATGGACATGGAAAAGAGTAAATAAGTTGAAAACTGGAATTAGTCCGCTTAGTTGTGGGATAGTTTAATGTTCTCCCCGGGACAGCCGTATCAAACGAAGTTAAAGATCAAAAGTAGTTGACTTTTCCGGCTCTTTGGCTCAACTATCGTTCAACCCAAACACCCAACCTTCTGTGTCTGACTCGCAAATACGTGAGTAATTTTCCAATGAATATGAAGCCACAGGACGAAAACATTTCCTGAGTGCTGGCTAAATAGAAAAAAAAAACCATACAACTTTTAATACAATTTGTAGGCTCTGACTTGAGCCCTGGCTCTTCATTAGGATTTTTATTCCTTTTGGATATTTTATCGCTTGCCAAAACCGAAGAATTTATTGCCGCAAGTTCAAAACGTACCGAAGGCTGGCATTTTTTTCTGAATCGACCTCGACACGCTTGCTGCATTTTCAATTGCATTTCCAATAAATTGTTTCCAGCCTCGAGTAGTTTAGCTTCCTCCTCTCGACTTTGCCAAATTGGCGAAAATAAAAAAAGATCGCCAAGAATTCGCGTAGCATTTAATTTTCCCACGACTCCAGTGAATTGCACAAGAGAAATGCGTTTAAGGTTATAGGTGGAGTAGCTTTGGGCGTGGAGTGGGCGTGGCAGAATGTAATTAGGCGCTGTTAATTAGGTCGTAATTGGACTTTTTAAGAAATGTTAAACGCAGTCGAGAGTCGGTCGAGGGTGACTTCCCCACAGGCATTACTTGTGGGTAATAAAAGGGTGACGTAAATAATGACAACAAGTTGGAAGCTGTGAGCGCAATGAAAACTAACCACGTTTTGTGGAGGAAGTTGATTGTGTTTAAAAAATGGGTTAAAACTAGTAAGTGATCGTTAGCATGTAAGTGCTTCAGGGTGTTTGCTGTTATTGTTTGTTAGCAGGCAAATTTGAAAGTGGGAAAGGTAATCAACATCTTCCTGTATTATCTCTCTGGACACTTAAGCTTATATTTTTGTTTTTGTTTGCAGCTCTGATGATAAGTTTTAACAATACGCAAATTACGGTTTTTATTAACCAAACAAGGATATTTATTTTACTGTTAAGGCCCCTTCATTAGTTTTAATACAAATGATCTGTTTTTACCGGGATGCAATCCTAAGCAGTTGGAAGCCATATGGGACTTTATAAAATATTGCTCATTGGGACGCCAAAAAAAAGGGTAATGATGTTGCTTACAATCAATCGCCTGTACGTATTGGAAATACATTCGCAGCATAAGCAGATTCCTTATCCTCAATCGGAGTACTTTGCTATTCCTTTATTCAACCCTTACAAAATTGTAATTTCGTGCAACCGTTTTAATCTGTAAAGTAAAAATTTGTGGGTACAATAAAAAGTTTCTTATAAAAAAGAGTCTTAAACCACATTTTAAAGGTAAATTTATTGTTATTTATACACATTTATAACATTAACGTGACTATCTGACACTCAGCTGTAGTCTTTTGTTAATTTTTTTTTTTTAATTTTAATCGATAAGATATAACAACAGGGTAGTGCTTCCAGTGATAGCACCGGCGAAACTCGCTACTACATCCAAGTCTGGCAAAATAAAGCAATTTAAAATTCAAGTAAAAATTTTAATACCATATATTTCATATTAACTGTATTTTTCTATTTTAAGCGCAGATTTACGCAGATAAATAAATTAAAAAAATTATTATATTAAAGCTGGGATTGCTGATAATAGTAATAGTATATTTTACATTTTTAATGCCAATGAAAATGTTCAAATTTTTTTTTTTAATTTTCTTCTTGTATCTTTTTTTTTACTGGCTGATTATGAACTAAACTTTCCCACCACCATTAAAAGACGTCAAAAATAAATTTTTTTTATTGATAACAGTTTGGCTAACTAACATCAATTTTAGTTTAATTTTTATTTCAATCTTCTTAAACTGCAGGGAAGACTCCAGAGAACGTGACATCCTTAGGCAGCAATCGTTCAGCAGGACCAAAACCTAACTAAACTTCAATTGGATACTGCCTTGTCTTTTATAAGGTTGCTCAGCCAATAGGAGCCAAGATATAGAGCTCCTAAGCTCAAAATTTGGGGATGGGATACAATGGGGGTTGCTGGTGGAAAAGCTACTGTTAAATAAGGAAAAATGTTAGTTAAACTTGAAAGCTAGCATCAAAAAGAGCTTTTTGAAGGGGTGAATTTACCGTTATTTAAGGGAAATGTAAGTTAAAATTTATGTTAGGGTAATTTTCTTAAAAGTAAAAGAGGAGAAATTCAGAGTCGTTAACATTGGTACTTGGGATAGCAGAAGGTCTTTACAGTGAAAGAGAACATACTAAATTTAGCAGTGAAAGTGGGGAAAACTGTTACGAAGCTAGCATTTTAAGAGTCCATAACAGTGGATGGTGCTTATAGCAGAATGTAAAATGTTAACAGAAATGTTACTTAAAATGTAAAACATAAGACTGTTAAATTGTTTTTGTAGATGTTATTTTGAATAACTTCTTTGTTAGAATCATTAGAATAAAATAAAGCGTTCGTATGTTAGCTGTTGTCATTATCTAACAAAAAAAAAATATAAAAACAAAAAATGTATATATTTTAAAATGCTTTTTATGAAATTAAAAAGCTAACAAAGCCCGTAAAATTACTAATTACTGGTCGCGAAAAATTACACGGCAACAGTGACATCCATTTGGCAGTCGATACGTTGGCTTTTGTGGTTAAAACAAATTAAGTGGAATTAATTTGACTTTGCCTGACTTTTCACCTGTGCATCCGCACACTCCCTAGCACACTCAAACGCACACACAGTGCAGTGTGTTTGTGTTGGTGCTTGTGCATTTATGATTTCCGAAAAAGGCCTCGGAAAAGTAAGTCTGGAACAAGCCTTTGTTTGTAATGCTCGTTTTGCTGTCTCGCTGTTTCTGACATTTCGAGTGGTTTCCCCACATCCTTCTCTACCTCTGTATTAAATATTCATCATGGAAAAAGCACTGGCAAGTGGGTAAGATAAAAAAAAAATATGGGTGAGCCCAATACGTACGAGTATATCCATATATCCATATAAGAGATGTTTATGGTAATTTATACCCCGATGCGGAGATTGAAATTCATGTAAATAAATTGCACCTGTAAAAATAATTAAAGTTGAAATCGCTCGCTCGTTCCATGGCAACGGCTAAAATATGAACTCCACCTTTCACTTGCCAGTGCATAAATTTAACCGTTTACACACATCCATTTATATCTCGGCGATTTATATACATATATATTTGCGGTAGGGCTACTTGTTATTTGTTATATAGTGGCGAGCAGAAGAAAAAACTCGAATAAAATAAAATAAAAACTTTCCGCCAGACGACGGAGCACTCCAAGTTGTGGGACCTTCGTTCCGAAGTGCGGGAACGTCGCCTCAAGTGGACTTCAGACGACCAACAACAACAACAATAATAACAACAACAATAACAACAACAGCAACAACAGGAGCATTCGGTGCAATAACAAGGACGACCCACGTGCAAAAATTCTTTTGCTATTTTCCAAGGGGGCGGGGCAGGTGCGACGCCAACAAATATTTTTATAATTTCCTTTTGGTGGAAATTTGCATTTTTTCTGTTGCGCTGCGTTGTGTTGTGCCTGCCATTTCCGCTTTGCGCTTTGCCACTTTGCCATTTCCGGTTTTGACGGCTCGACGGGAATTTCCATTCCTTGGCCATAATTGCAAAGTTCCCGCTCCTGCGGATCCTTTGGGCTTCAGCTCATCCCAAAGGCTGTCCGCAAACAATTCCGAGTGATTTTGTATGCGAATGTGAATAAAATTAAGCAATTTCAATTTACCTCAGGTCTTTTTACGCTTCTCTGCGTTCACTTAAGGATTTCGCAGTTGCAAGAAATATTGTCGAAAACTTGAGGGACTCATATGAAAAGCTCCAATGAATAATTACTGCTTGATTTGTTTTCTGGTCTGGCTTGAAAATGCGAAATTTCGATGAATAAGTTGGAAGTATTAAATTCGTTCAAGAATTAAAGCCTCATTAAATGAACGACTTTCTACCAGCCGACCCGCCTTGCATAATAACAGCTCGTTGACAATTGATTACGCATTTCTACAATTCAATTATTAACATTAATATATCAATTTGTATTTAATTCATCCTTCCTGTGGAACGCAAATTTATTTGTCATTTATTAAATCTTTAATAATTGGCCGGTCTGCGGGAACAAGCCAACAAGCCTAATTAACATTTAAAATTATCAGTTGACATAAATTGTTTGATGGCCATAAATATTTGTGCCGACGAACGGAGGCAGCAAACTTTGCCGACAAGGCAATATGAAATGTACAAAAGGACAATAAGGAAGCCGGTTCCGATTGCTGTTTCCCACTCGCCACGGAAAAAAAATCAGAGCGAGATGGCTGCAGTCCAAGTGAAAGAGATGGCGGCGAATAAAAAACAAATATATCAAAGCGAGTATGGGGCATAAATGTAGCGTAATTTAAATAAAATTGCATTAATATGTTCTCTCCGCCGAAAAGGAACCCCAACTGCAGCCTGTGTCCTGGGCAAATTTCCAGCCAAGCGAAGAGCTTTTCGTGCCTTTCCCGGATCTGCTGGTCATAATTCATCTGGCCTGGGCAACAGCAACAACAACAACAGTAACAAAAACAACACACATACATACTCGTACAACTATCGCAGGACCTCTGTTGCTCAGCAAATTCACACCAAAAATCAAAAAGCAATAATGATGCTCGGGAAATCTGAACAGCCGGCCAGGCGGACGGGATATGCAGGCGGTGTGAAAAGTGGGCATGTCTGGCCACTATAAATGCACGATGGTGTGTGTATGTGGTGTGCTTGTGTGTGTGTGTGAGTGTTTGGGCTACGTGGCAAACTTTTCGAGTATTTGTCGTTATAAATTTGACATCAATTGCCACGGCATGTGGCCAACGAAGGTCTGACAGTCCAGGCAAAAGCAAGGCGGGTCGAACGAACTGGGAATATGCGGGGAGCACTGGTGTGGATGTGAGCCAAATTGCAAAAAAAGAACCCCAGCAGGACTTAGGTAAAGTCCTGGGTAAGTGTGAATGGAAATAAAGGTGGGTCTGAGCGAATTTGTCAGCAAAATATCCATTGGATTTTATTATACTCGTTAGACACTTATTTTTTGAACAAAGAAATCGTCGTTGGTGTCTGTTTTACTGAAACCCCAATAAAAAGTGAGCTGGAAAGATTTTTTTTTTTATTAAATTTAACATCATTCAATGACCCGTGAGCCAGAGCTTTAGTTTCATTTAATTATGAATAAAATGTTTAACCCGGACAAAGACAAATATTTTATAAATATTATTAAATATCGAAAGGTATTCGTGAATAAACAAAAACAATGTGAACGTGTACAAGCCAAATAAAGAATGATAAAGACTTTTACATTTTATTAAAATAACGTTTTGTCAATAAATATAGACATAAAAGCAACTTTTTGGCACTCCTTATTTAATACTTTTTGCATTTTCATTTTTGTTGGTCGCTTGGCTCTTTTTAACATCGCATTTAATGCTCAAAGAATTTACAACTTTTTCATTTATACAGCCATAGTTTTAATTAAATCTCGCGTGTATGGCTGAGTACAACAATCATGAAATATATTGATAAAATAAATATTAAAGTTGACACACATGGAGCGGTATTTTTCCACTCGAATTCGTTGTTGAACTAATTATTCTTGGTTGGGAACGCAAACAGTTCCTACATCAGAATTACCCAACTATAATAAAACTGAAATTAACTATAGTATGAAAACTCCCATTAGAGTAATTCACTTTTATGGTAATCAGTCCATGTAAGGTTTAATTTAAAAAACGCTATTTATTATTCCCTAAGGAATTTGAATTTAATGTTTTGCTCGTTACAAAGAAATCTTATTTGTACAGCGTTTAGTTGGAAAATAGATTTGGAAGAGTGTAAATCGTTAAAAATGACGGAAAAATTACTATATATACTTTTAGTTATTTCTCTTAAAAGTTTCTCTATCAAGTGATACAATAAGGGAGGACTACTGTAAAATATATTGTGGTGGATCCTGTGCTAATGAAAGCTGTTCAATAACCGATAATGTTGTAGCCACAGAAGGTTATAAAATGAACCTGGTTTTCTCAGTTTTAGAAATTAGCTGGATAAATCCAGAGTTTGACCAGTGGAAGATTTATAATATTTTTAACCATGCTGATTGCGAAATAGTAAAAACTCGTGTGGTTGGAATAATAAGTGCTGAAGATGAAAGACTTCGACCTAGGAATTATTACCTTCGACTACTCGGCCTAAAAGCAATAGTCAGCTTTGAAATTCAACTTCCTTCATTAATAATTTTTGAGGAAACTACAAGCACTGTAATTGGGCCAGAAATGATAATTTTCAAATATTTAATCAGTAGCCCAGTAAATTCGTACGTTACAAATAATTACATCCGAGAGACCATGAACAACAAGAAGACAATCAAAATTTATCATCAAAATTTATTTGAAAAACCACTACTTACATTAAAGGAAAATGTTTTTGAAGGCAAAACGAAATTAAGCACATTAGTTTTCTCTAATTTAATGGTAAATGGTCTCACAGAAAAAACTTTCGATAACTTGGAAAATATTACTTTGCTTATTTTCAACAATGTTGTCTTATCATCAGACTTTACATTTTTAAGGTTAGTAAAATCATATTAACTAAGCCCTGTATTATTTTAATTGAATTTGTTTTTCAGGTCTTCTGCCCTTAGAAAATCTCTGAAACACTGCATAATGTATATCGACAAAGTGGTGGACCTAAAAAACTTTGACAATTTCCCCAATCTTGAGTACATCGAAGTTAACCATTACAAACGATTTCCAAATCTTACCGCATTTATATGTTCTTCAGGTGAAAATGCATGCCAATTTACACTAGGTGTTAATGGAATTTCATGTCCACCCCAATGTAATTGCCTATTTCATCGAAATACTTTAATATTGGAAATAAATTGCTGGCAGCAAAATCTAAAGACAGTTCCACCGATTCCAGTTCCAATCGCTGGAATTTCGGTGCTATTCTTTCAACAGAACCAACTTACTGAACTACCCAACCACTCATTACTAGGCTATAAAGACTTAAAATGCCTTAATGTCTCGCAAAATCAATTATCCAGCCTCACCATCAATCGCCTCCCTGAAGCTCTTGAACATTTGGACATAAGTTATAATCAAATTTTCACTCTGAGCCCAGAGGTTGTGGAATATCTCAAGGGTGTGAGCACTTTTAATCAGTTTGGAAACAAATGGTTTATATACTGCGATGAAGTATATTTACAAGAATTCTTTTGGCAAAAAGCAAAGACGTTACGGATACAACCATCAAAATTTGATGCAGTTTTTGAGTACTTGGACGTAACAGCAAATGCAATGTTCTTAAGTTACTCTTTTGTTTCCCGCTTAAATGGATTATACATGGAAGCAGATGAAGATGAAATATTAGCCTCCAATGAATATTACTTTATGTTAAAGATAATGGAGGAATTTCACATCGCAGTTTGGGTTTTTTATGCCGAATACGATGAAGTGATTGTTCACCATCTCAACTCACGATGTCCATATAGATGCTCATGTTGCGTCGAACGAGACTCGGGTCAATTCATTATTAATTGCGCAAACTCAAGTCTTGACTTTTATCCGAAGCTACCAAATTCGATACCTTATAATACGACATTAATTCTTGAAGATAATGAAATTCGAAAGCTAACTATTGCCGAATTCGTTGCTGTTTCGGGTCTCGCGTCGATACAAAAATTGCTCATGAGGAATAATATGTTAATAGAATTTCCAAATTACTTGATTCCAGAGAACATAACATTTCTAGACCTACGTAATAATGGGTTGAAGTCCCTTAGTGACAATGCGGTTGCTTTTCTGAGATATCGTGAAGAATTAACTGAGGTAAAGCTGTCTGGCAATCCGTGGGAATCTAACTGCAAGGCGAAGTCCTTCTTATCCTTTCTCAGAGAGCATGAGCCAACGGACTACGACATTATTTTTCGGCGAGTGAATATAACTCAGGAAGAATGCCCTGAATTCTGCATATGTTGCGTAGACACTTCCGATTACGATTTGCCGTCACTCACCATCGACTGCAGTGGCAAAGGCCTCCGGGAAATACCTCCATTACCAACACCCACAATTGGCAGAATAACCCTTGTCTTTGAGAGAAATAAACTCAAAAAATGGCCAAACAACTCCTTACCAGGATACACTGATGTAGGACGACTTCATTTGGCTCACAATCAACTATCTCTTATTGACGAACTGCCAGAAAACATTGAATATCTGGACATTAGTTACAACAAGTTCACAGTTTTGAGCGATCGAGTTAGAACATCCCTGGAAAAGAAAATGAATTCTTCGCATATGAAGCTCTTTCTCTCAGGAAATCCGTGGACTTGCAGCTGCGAGGAAAGGGACTTTCTGGAATTTGTCAAGGAACATGCGAAAAATATTGGAAATACCACAACTGTTCAGTGCGGCGGTTCAGGAAAATCTCTGATTGAGATCGAGGAGATTGACATTTGCCCTTCGGCCATTGTCTATTACGCTTCCCTTGGCGCCTCTTTATTGATTGTAGCTCTGTCAATCAACGTATTTATCTGCTTCAAGCAGCCCATATTGATCTGGTTCTACGAACACGAAGTATGCCTTAGTCTGGCCACTCGGCGGGAACTCGACCAGGATAAAAAGTACGATGCATTCCTCTCATTTACTCATAAGGACGAAGAATTAATTGGTGAATTTGTGGAGCGACTGGAGAAGGGCAGGCACAAGTTTCGACTGTGTTTCTATCTTAGAGATTGGCTGGTGGGCGAGTCCATTCCCGAGTGCATAAGCCAATCTGTCAAGGACTCGAAACGCATCATCATCCTGATGACAAATAATTTTATGAAGTCCACCTGGGGACGTCTGGAATTCAGGCTGGCTCTTCATGCCACCTCCAAGGATCGATGCAAGCGTCTTATCGTTGTCCTTTATCCCGACGTGGAAAACTTTGACGATCTGGACAGCGAGCTGAAGGCCTATATGGTATTGAATACTTATCTGGATAGAAACAATCCGAACTTTTGGAACAAGCTGATTTATTCGATGCCCCACGTTATACTGCAGAGAAATATCACCGATCTCGAAACTAAAGTATGAAAAGAGCAAAACTGTCACTGAACACAGCTTAAGAATTTCAAATTTTATTTCTTTTGTATTTTGAAAAATAAACTTTCTACATATAATTAAAACTAAATACTTTTTTTTTGCAACAAAGTGAAGAATTTTATGGTAAAATGTTACATTATAAAGTTTTTAAAATATATGTTTATCTTATTAGTTTCCTTATTCTCGTAAAGATAATTTCAAATTTCGACGTTGCCATTGAAAGCTGAACGATATGTGACTCAAAATGGATTGCATCCCTGAGCAGGAAAAGGAACCACCAAGATTGTTCCAGGACTCTGTTTCCATCCCTGATATAGTAACCCACCACTCAAAAAGCTATCTTAGGGCTTTGATGAATTTTTAGCTCACATCACTATTTCGGCGCCAAGCCCCATGCATTTTAAATAGTGAAAATAAAAGCCCTTTTCCAAGAAAAAATCCTAATTTAAGTTAAAATTAGCTTTATGCAATTGTTTTTTAAGACCCGAAAAATTTTAAATTTTAATAAACTATGTTTAATAATTTAGCAACGAAAAAACTTGCTATTTTTAAATGTATTTCACAATTGAATTAAAGTGTTAATAAATGAAAATGTTTTACGTAAATTATTTACTGACAATGTTCACCAGACAACTAGCTCAGGAAAATTCTAAGCATGTTTGTCCTTCAATGTCACGTACGTAATTTTTGTCAAAAGACCTTTTGCATACATTTTTGCCTGATAAAATATACCAAAGATTTGGGCAAAAACCATCTCATATCAGCTTTTTAAACTCTTAGCTTTTGAGTCCTTTGAAAAGGCTTTTCAAAAGTTTTTCTGAAACCGCTTAGCGAATAACGCAACATAAAGCTCCCAAATGTAAGACTTCAAGAAGTAGAGTAAAAATCCATATGCTATGTAAGCATCCTTTCAACTTGTGTTATTAAATATATAATTATTTAGTTTCTGTAAAAAAATATTTTATTGTTTTTACATTTTTAAAGTCTTGTATATTTTTATTAATTATTGCTTTTTTTAAGAAATAAAATAATAGCATGATTATAATTATCATACTTATTTTTAATCAGAGTCCTTTAATACGTTAATTTTTTTCCCTACACGCTGCGTAAATCTTTTTAAGGCCCTTCCCCAGCATAGTCACATATCCGGAGGCTAATGATGTGTGAAATTCCTGCCCCTGGCGAACTGCCACTTAACATGGAGTTCAAGGATGCCCTTTCTGCATCCCCCAATCATTCACATGGAGCTACCCTTCGTTTTTCAATTTCTCGCGCCCTGCCAAAGGACATAAACAAAAGTGCAAGCTTTTCGCCGGGGGAGTTGAACAGGTGCAACGGAAGGTGCGAAGGGGTTGGGATTTGGTTTTGGCATTGAAGTTCCAGCTGGGGGGGAGGCAGCTCCCAGAGGCGATGATGGGCACCCGGATTTGAAATGCACATCACGTTTTTAGCCACTTTTTTGGCGACAGGCGGCAGACGAAGCGGATGGTCGACAATTGTGGTTGGGGGAAATCGCGTGCAGACTAAACCATGGCACGTGTACTCCACCACTCGCATTGCCGGTATCAATCCTTGTGCCTCCCCTTTGTTGAATTGAATTTTAAAAATGAACATTATTCGTGCACAATTTCCACTCCCTCACGACGATGTATTATTATTCAATCAGCAATGCAAGCGGCGAAAATTGTAAACACAAAATATTCCATATACATACGTGTAATTAAATGGCCACTTAATTGAGGTAGTCCGCTCAGCTCTCGTTGCTACCCCAAATTAGCAGAAAATTTCAAGCACAACTTTTACAATTTATGGTGAAAAAGAAAGGAGGGAAAGCATATAAGCTTTTCCTAATTATATTCTCTTGGCACATAATCACAATTGGCACATTTTATTGTTTACTTTATTTCAAAAGTTGTCAGCAAAGTTTTCGTTTTATTTCGCTTTTCTGTTTATTTTTTTTGGCTCTCGCTTAGGCCAACTTTTCGCATTTGGCTAGAGATTCAGTTCGCAGTTTATATATTTGTGTCGCTGGTTGAAATTTATACTGACAGTTGTTAAAATTATGCAAACATTGGTTCAAGTACATTATTCGTTATGTGTCTTCAGTATTAAGTGGGTCAAAAAGTTGGGACATCATTTTACTGAAACTATGGGGTCGATAGCTTAATAAAGAAGATTATAATAAAATAAATATGTAAAAAATATTATCTGGTATTCCAAAGACTTAAAAAATTATGTTTAAAAATAAGCTTACAAATTTTTTTATTACATTTTTTATAATAATTATACTTCTGCTTCATCAGCCAGCTGAAATAACTTTCAACCTGAATGCTCTAATATATTAGCCGGAGTTCCTTCTTTTTTTTTAGAGAGGGGAATCCATTACATAATCAGGGGTAAGAATCCCCAGGGAACTCCTCCTGCAATAGATCATCATTTGCATGGCTTACAAATGTTCTATAAATTTTGGCAAAACACAAAGGGAGAAAACGGAAAACAGTTTAAAGCGTACAAAGGACTCGATTGAAATATAAAAACCACAAGAACACAAAGAATGAAAGCCGGAAGCGGAAAAGTGAAGCACAGAGGGGGGCATTCGGGGGTCATAGGACAACACTAAAAAGAAGGCAAATTTTATTTGCATGCGGCTTTTCAATTCCTTCAAGAACATAAAACGCAAGTCGGGGGAACCTTCGGGGAACCCTTTCGATGATGGAAAATAAAGTAAAGTTGTAAAACGAGAACGGACAACAGAAGGCAGAAAACAGAGCGAGCGAAAGAGAGATGGAGCGAGAGTTAAAGCGAGACGGGGCGAAGGAGGCGCGGCGTCTTAACAATTTCCTGCCAACTTCTGCTTCATTGCATATTTCCGTTTCCTTCAGTCCGGACTAGTCTGCCCCTCCCCCCTTTACCCCCTTAACCCCTCAGCCCGCTTAACCCCCCAAAAACCTCTCTGAGTCTGGAATCCTTGCACATATGGAAAAGCGATCTTTCTCTAGCTCTGGCTTTTTTCTCTTTTACGATTTGCAATTATTTTTGCTCATTTCAGCAGAAGCAAATATGCCCACAATTCCTTGAGGGACAACTGGCAGACAGTCCCGAGTCCTGTCAATACAAATAGTGCCAACTGCCCTCCCCCGCCCCACACTTCTCGTCTATAACAATTTACATAAGTTGATATTTTTCGAGTTGTTTCACTTTGACATCCCTCCTTTCATCCAGACTTCGATTCCTTCGTGTTTTGTGTGCTCAGTTATTTGTCTGCCTGAGTAGAGTCCTTCCAAAATGAGAAAAGAGACGGTGGGGTGTGGATTTACAACATGGAAAGCATTTTAGCTGCAGCGGAATCAGACTTGTGCTGCATTAACCCCCACTTCTTTGGGTTTTACCAGATATCATTGCTTCGGGGAAGCAATGACAATTGTCTTCGGAGTCCTCTGCTGAGTGGTTTATTAATTCCAGCAAGGAAAGTGCAGAAAACATGGCTTACAGTCGAACTAAAATGGAGGAGTCAATAAGTCACTGCTTAGGTATTTCCGATAAAAATGAAAGTGGAAAAAGAAAATTTAATTTTAGTTTTAGATAACACTTTGAGAAATAAAAAAAGTCCTGTTTTAAATTCAATCTACGTTAAAAAACTAGTATTTCCTTGAGCTCAACTAAATAATTTATGCAATCATTAAATTGGCAGCCTTAAATTGTACTTCCCCTTAACTCACCTTAATCAGACGAGCATTAATTTTTAAAGTAGTATACGAGGAACTCCTATTCCTAATGGCAGGCGGCTGTCAACATGTGGCCTTAACACTCATTCCTGGCTAACCAAAACAACGTGCCTCCGTCTGCGGAACTTTCAAATTGGCCACGTAAAAAGCAGAAAAACAGGATGCTACCTAGCAATTGGAAAATGAAAACAGAAAAAGTGCCAAAACATTTGCCTTTGAAGGGGTCTAAACTAAAAACAGAGCCATTGGCTTTCCCGTTCTCCTTGAATCGAGCGTGTGCGGAAAATCAAAATAAAACGCTTTTCGTTTCATTTGCAATGAAATTTTCGCAAGTGCCGGGCCTGTCTTTGTTTTGTCTGCTCGCCTGCCATTGAATGGAAATCGTTTTCCAATACAGTACTGAATACGGATACGGTATGCCGTATGCCGTTCGGTATATAGAGCTTACCCCCGAACAGTTTGGGCCATTTTCTATGCACGTCATGTGGGCAATCAGCGCTCATGTCCATGGGATACTTCTTCTGGTTTTAGCCCCATTCCCAGAAATGCTCTTTGCACTTCCCTTCTTTTTATTTGGGTTATCTATTTCCCAGTTTTATTTCTCACTCGGCTCATGAATATTTAACTGCCAACAATTGACTATGATTGTTATGTTTGTTGCTGCCTTGTGTTTTACAATTAGAGGGGATCGAACACAAAAGGCAACAGGGATTTTCGGGACTTGAGATTGATTTTTTCTCTAGCTTTATATATTTTTCATTTATCAATTTTCCTAACGTTTTTCGCCTGCTTTGCCTGGCAAAGAAATTGCAATTTTAACGCATGACAGGGCATTCTCAATGCGCTCCAAGCCAAATATAGAAAAAATCGCTTAAAAGCACTTGAGCCGTTCTGTACTTTCCTACTTAGACATCGTCGCGTAATCGAATATAAATTGAATTTTGCACAACAAATGGATTTTTCTCAAGCGTTTTTCTTTACCAGCTCTCCTCTAGACTGCATTCAAATGAAATAAGCATAAGATTAATATTATGCATTAAAATCAAACGGAACTTTTTAAATTTTTTTTGCTGATAACAACAATTTACATTTATATGTCGATAAGCAGTCTGAAAACTTTTTATACTTTGTATTGTAACTTAGCTTTTATGCCAAGAAAACATTATAATTACATTTTCTTTGCTGATATCCATCTTGCGTTTATTAAAAACAGTTGCCGAGAGTTTATTGAAATTGATTCCCAAAACAAGTATACAAAACAAGTATACGCTCCATTGTACCTTACCTTAATCACCGCTAAAATGTTTTTATATTGTTTGTATTTACTTTAAGTGCGTCAACGGCCAATCCAATTTCTTAGAAGCTATTTAAAATATTTTCCCTGCTGGTTTCTGGTCTATTTTGGGTTCAGTTCACTTACCTCTGAAAATATTTCGCGATTTTTCTCACGCATTTTTCTTCGTCTCCTTTTTTCCCAGAAATTCTCTGTCTGATTGAATATTTTGTTCGTTTTTATTTTGAGCTGTCGCCCGCACTTGCGTGTTTTGCACTTGACGCATACATATATTTTGCATTTATTGTGGCCAGAGCTTTTATAATGTATGCCAGTCACGTCTAGCCACTTGTGTCCTGAGCCCAAGTTCCAGCTTTTCCAGGTTTTCCCCTTCTGTAGATTTTCTGCTCTCGTTTCAAGCTCGTGCCTTCACATTCACTTAGTGCAAGGCTGTGCCAAACCTATTTTGCATATTGATATGGCTGAATCCACTTACCTTTTTATACATATTTTTTTGAGACAAATTAAAACCTATCTGAGCTGAAATGTGAGTTAGTATTTCGAGTTGTCACTGCCCCTGAAAATGACAAAAGTTGTGAGCATTTCTCATTAATTGCTGAATGTTTCGAGTATTTTTAGAGCGCGTGTTTAAGTGTCGTGTCTAGACGAAAGTTTTCGCTCTCGCCAGGTAACAACCAAAAACAAATTAAAACAAATAGAAACGATTCAGGAAAACTGACCAACCCCAAGCCGATTCTCAAATAAATGGGCCCTTTGAAATTTTTGTTGCAAATTGTTAGCTCGTGTCCCATAAAAGTGCACATAAAATCAAAAGGGGGAAAAAGCTGGCAGAATGGTTTGAAAAATGTGCGGGCCCCAAACCAGTTTCCAAACATTTTCGCAGCGCACGCCAAGCAATTAAAGCGGCCCATCCAAAAACTCTAGCTCCGGGTTGCATGTGGCATGTGGCAAACTTCTGGCTCCAAAGTGGCGCCCAAATGGCGGACATGACGACGGCGGCGCCTCAATGTCAGGCCATTAAAGTTTAGTGGGCGATTTTGCATAGCGTTTTCCTAAGCCACCGAAAAACGCTCGAAGAAGGAAAGCCGGCAAAAGGAAAAGGAAGGCTAAGGCGGCAGCAAAGTGCAGCAGACGTTTTGGCCCAAACCGCCCAACCCAAAAACATTCGTCGAAGCTCATCAAGCCGAAAAAGTTTTGCCAGCGATAAATCACATTTTTTTGGTTGCTTGTTAACTCGTTCGTTTAAATTAAGTTGAGCATTAAGGGTCGAAATGGTGGCTTAAATTTTATGTAATTTTAAGCATTTCCTGCTGGCTGAAGTTGGCTGGTGTGGAAAACATTTTCCGCGAAGGGCGTGCAACTCTTGAGGGTTCTGTAATTAGCTGAGTGCCCAACTGAGCTTAGGTCGCTCTGCATAAATAACTTCAAGTTATTGTTAATGGTTTTGGGAATTTCGCAACCGGAAATCTGTGGTTGTTTCTTAAATGTTGGTCATGTTCGCAGCAGAAAATATTCAAGTAACGAAAAAAGCAAGGAGAGGAACTAAGGTAGGATAAAAATTCTTATCATATATTCTTCCAAGTGTTTAGGTAACATGGAGACAGGACACGCCAACCTAAAGGCCCATACTCCTAATTTTTTTGAATTTTATTCCAATCTTGAATGGTGTAAGGTGATAATGTAAACACACTCAAAACTAAAGGTCAACAATCTACAATTTGGCAAATTTTAATCCAATTTCCCCTATGGCCCATCTATTTAGTAAGTAAATATGAATATATCATAAGCCTACATTCCAGAGTCCATCTTCCTTTCAAAATAAACCTTGTTTACCATTGTTTTGTGTTTACCCACCCTGAATATATTTTCAGAGTGCGATCTTTGATTAAACTGCTATTTTAAGTTTCTTGTCTCGGATTTCCCCCTGACATCCATCAAATCCAAGCGATTTCATTGTGTGCAGTCCCACATCAGTGCAGCCACTAACGGGTCAACAGCCCATTTCATGTGATTACTCTCGAAATACAGCTCTGGGAGGATAACCTTTCGCAGGACCTGCCACTCCCCCTTTCCCATTTCCCCTTTCCCTAATCGCATTGCCAACAAGTCCCTGGACTCCCGACTCAGGCCGCTTGTTATTGTCATTGTTATCAACGCTGTCACTGCAAATGGCGACACCAAAATAGCAACAACAACTACTGAAACAACAACGAAAACAACAACAAGAAATTGTGGCAACAACTGGGACAGGACATTCTGTTGGTCCTGCCGAGTCTCATGTGGGCATATGTTAAACATTTTGACACTTCTGCGCACGGTTTAACCGAAATCCTCCGACATCCGCTGAACTTTGACATTCTAATGGAAGTTGATGAGGGTTCTCCTGCCTCCGTGGAATATTCCCTCCACACAACAATTTAAATTTAGAAACGCTCTCAGTCGCTTCCGAAAAATTAGTTGCAATTCGGAATAGTTTTTGCCTCGGCATGTATATTGGATTGCGTAATTTTGGGTGTCAGTGCGAGGATAATCAGCGAACTGAAATCAACTGCTGACGGAATTTTACATTGAGTTGCCAAAGTGTGGCCATCGGACCGAGTAAACCACTCTGGTGGTTGGCTCTTAGCTTTGCCGTGGTTGCTGTTCGATGATTTTGAGGATGGCGCACGGTATCGAGTTATATTGAAACTTAATTAAGTGCCGCCGCGGCCAGTGCAAAATTCAGTGGCTCCCCCGAGGCTCGAATGCAAAATGATTGTACGGTGGTCGCTGGCAAATGTTAACGGTTTTGGTTTCTGTTCTACAAAGGTTTTAGCTGATTTTTGGGGTTTGAATTTAAATAGAAATAAATGTAAATAGATGAAGCTTAGAAGAGAAAGCATAGCAATTAGCTTAAAATAAAGTTTTTTAAATACACAAAATTTGTTCCAAAATTTATGAATCGTTTCAAAATGTTTCTTGTGCTCAATAATTTCTATGGCTTTATCTTCATCTCAAGTTACTCACACCTAAGTCTGTTCAAATTAAAATAAATTTTTAATACCCATCGATAGGATCTTTGTGTTTCCCACCTTTTGCTAAATATCACCTTCAACATGCAATAAAGAATTATGTAGAGACAGTTAATACCCGCGAGACAAAAAGCGGCTGGCTTATCTGCACCCCAACTCCTCCCCAAAAATTCTTGGGAACAACAATTTTCAAATCGCTTCCTTTCGGCTGGCAACGAAATTCTTGGGGGTTTACCCCTCCTTTAAAACCATTTCCCCCACATTGTGTCTGCCAATTTACGTTATCGTTTTCAAATTGAAAATTTGCGTAATCACATTTTAAGTGAAAATCGCTTTGCAAATTAAATTAAATCGATTTCTCCAAGACGATAAGATTGGACGAGGAAGGGAAGTGGATCCACCAAGAGTTGCAAAGCTTGTAAATATAGATTATGGTTTTTCATTTCCGCTTCCGTTTTTGCTCTAAAGCTTTAAGCTTTGAAATCTGCATCTGCAGTTTTCTTTGGCCTCTGCAATGTCGCAGCATTGTAACTCAAAGAACCATCAACGTCATCAAATCGTTAGTCAAATACGAGGAAAAGAAAAAAATATGCAAGTTCCTTGCTCTTCTTTCAAGTCTCTCGTGGCAATAAAAATGATGAAGTGCTTTGAAAGAGAGAGTAGGAGTGGTTTAGAAGAGAAAAATAAGAAGAAGTTCGGAAGGAGTACTTGCATTCCTGGCATATCCTTTGGTTTATATGCACACATTGAATGGGTATATTTAAATTTTCAAATGTTTGTATTTGAGAACAATTGAGAAATTTACTTCACTAACAAATAATTTTTCGATTTTTTGTTTTGTATGTGTATTTCTTATTTGTCGTGCTAGCTTTGAACTTTAAATCTATAAAAAGTATAAGTTTCTTTAAAGTTGTAGCTCTATAATTCTATAACATCCAATAATTATTATGTTTCTCACACTTTCCTTATTGCTAATTTTTGTACAACCATTGGTAGCTGTTGTTCCCCATGGAGTTACAATAAAAGAACGTAAGTCTTGCTTTATTTTCTTTAAATAATTGCAATTCAAATAATAATTTTCTTTAGCAAAATGCTGGTATGTGGCAAATCCGGGACCCTGTCAAGACTTTGTAAAAGTTTGGGGTTACGACTACCTAACAAATCGTTGCATTTTCTTCTACTACGGTGGCTGTGGTGGAAATCCAAATAGATTCTATACAAAGGAAGAGTGCCTAAATACCTGTCGAGTGCACAGACCTCCAAACCGAAAGAAAAGGGAAAACGATCCGGAGGAAGAGGAAGAAGAGGAGTTCGAGGAGGATATAGACGATTGGGATAATTGGGAGAAATCCGAGTTATAAGAAAAGCTTTAAGAAGGGTATTCAAAAATCTTCTCAGTCAAGATGCAATCTTCTCAAGTTAGCTTTTGATTCGCTGTGCAAACGCATAATTTCAGTTTGAAAGAAAGAACTTCCCGTCGAGTTGCTTGTAATGCGTTTTCTTTTAGCCGTCTGCAGTTTTCTTTTTCATTTTCTTTACTACCATTACATATCTCTCTAGACGTCTGTTTGCTGCCAATCTGAACGACGACCATTAAGTCAAACAGTTTGGAGCAATTTGAAAGCTGAACAGACTCGGCGGCATAGAATATTTCTCGGCTCGCAGGGTTATTTATCAACAATTTTATGTGGATAGAGTTGGGAATCTGACAATTTTTGACATGCAATTTGCCATTCTCCATTTGCTGCTGCCATATTTTCGGGTGTGGATTCTGGGTTTTGCCTGCAGGCTGCAATAAGTTTTTGGCAGCGAATGCAGATGAGGCTCGACATTGTTGGAGCTCTGGCCAAATCCGCTGGGAAAATTCGCAACAGTCTGACTGAGTTAGCTTCCCGTTTTCAACTTCAGTTTATATTCCTGCCGAAAAAGCAATCACAAAAGAAAATGCCCTGCTAATTGGAAAGAATTTTGTTTGCCGACTTCTGCTCTCTTTGCATGGATCTCGGCTCGTTAGGCTTAATTAGCAATCATAAAAGTTCTTCCCAGTTAAATGTCGAACATTCTTATTTGGTCATGTGACACTTTTGTGTTCGGTACTCGGTGTCCTGTGTCCTGTGGTGTCGGCCAGCAGGATCTGAGCCAGAATTAGGCATCTGAGGTGTTTCCGTGCCACCTACTTTGCTTTCCGCTCACGTTGCCTCTCGTCCCCCAAGACTTTTATGACTGATTATGCTGTGTTTCGGCCATTTAATTGCCACTTGGCTCTGGATGTGACTACTTTTATGGTTAATGAGCAACTTGTGGTAATTTAGGGGGCTCAGGGATGACAGGGATCAGGTGTGCAGACAATGGCCGAGTTTCTTGTTCGGGGGTGAGCCAATTAAATGGGTAATATTACCAGCCTGTGGGTTGGGGACAAATAAATTAAAAAGAATGGCTTGCTCTTAAAGTAATAGAAGGGTAAAATGGCTGGCAAAAGACAATATTACAGTTTTATTTGGAAAGTTTTCATTTAAGGTATTTTGTCATATATTTATTTGTTCACAAAATTGCTTTAAAACTTAATTAAAGTAAATATGGCTTGTAGCTTACACTATTAACTCAAGTATCAATGTCTTTCAGTTTATTTAACATTTATCATTTGGTATGTAAATCAAGTGCCCAACTCCCATTTTGCCTTCTCAATTCTGACATCATCTGTTGCTGCTGTCCGACATCATTTGACTGTTCTGCCAGTTCAACGATTTGAAAAATCGTTCACAATAAATTAAGTTTCAGTCAGACTTGTTTCCGGCCCGACACTCTGGCTAAGAATTTAAATAGGTCAAATATGCATTTAATTTCCGCACGAATGAAATGAATTTGTCTGGCGCTATAAACAGGGCTCTGTCTCCCCAGTTCTGCCTTTCCAGCAGCAGTGGCTCCAGCTGTCAAATACATAAAGCACAGGCAGAGTGTGCTTGCGAATGTCCTTCCCCGCTCCTTCGAGATCCTTGCCATTTCCGGTGCCGTGCCGCCAACTCTCGAGAGTTTAAGAGAACACGTGTTCGGGCCACCTTCTCTCGGTCTCGGCCATCCACTGTGTTCCGTACACTTAACTTATTTGGCTCCATTAAAATCTTGCTAAATAAATATTTAATGCGTGAACAACTGGAGGGGTGCGGTTGATGGAGATGGGGATTCCGTGGGTTTAGGGAACCTCCCCGAGGATCCTTCGGAGCAACAGCCTGGCCACATGATTTATGACCTTCGCTCTCCGTCTGGGCCTTTTGTTCGGGCCCTCTCACTCTCCTCCTTGGCCCGGCTAATGGTTCATAATTGATTTTTATGCCTATTGTGCTGGCCATCTTGGCCCAAGTTCGCCGCTGCTGGTCTCATTCAAATGGCGCGTTCATAATGCGACGCACTGCACCAAGGCCTCATTACAGATGGTTCGCATGGGGGGCGTATTAAAAACTTATAATTCCTGCTATTGGTGGTGAACATAAATCCCCTTTATTGCCACAGAATGTTCGACTTAATGAAGCAGTGGCGGTCAAATGGCTTCCTGCTTAATGGTTTAATTGGGCGGGCAAGCAAAACAGTCAGCGAACAATGAAATCTAAAATAAAGGGAAATATTACATTACTAAGAGTATATGTACTTTAAAATATTTTTAGCTTTGCAATAAATGCTATTCAATATTCCAAACATAAAAAAAGCCACAAAGCTGAACTAGATTTGTATAATCAAATAGAAAAACAAATCCCCATTTATAGTTTATTTAATAACTATATTTTTCTTTAATTTGCAATTCTAACCAATATATCTAAACAAAATGTAATTTTAAATTTGATATTTTGTTCATTACTTTTATTTTTAAGCTAGCAATTCCTTTGATTCCCCATAACATCTCCTTTCTACCTTTATCCTCCACCCCAATCCACTTGATTTAATAACACCAATAAGATGCCAAAGCCAAACACTAACACCCAAACGTAATTCCTTCCATGTTGTCTTCAACTAAAATCTAAATAAATAAATGTCCATTTTGGACACCTACAAACGTGCCCAGTGGCAATCCAATCCCTTAGACAACCAAGTGCGAGGGTTTTTTGGGGATGCTGTCTTTTCATTGGGAAACAGGCATTCCGGGCATATCATGCGTTTACTTTAATAATGCGCATAAATTGGAAGTCGTACTCGGACCTTTTGACTGCTTCATTCCTGAGCTCCGGCATCGGGAATCGAGTGGGGAGTTTCATTTAGCTTTTGTTTGACTTGGGCCCCCTCCACCCGCCAGCCCGAAAAACTGTCTGCCTGTCTAGTCAGACATTGTTTTTGGATCCCAGACTGACCCCGAGAATATTTTTACCAGCGTTTAATCTTTAATTTTCCGCCACTATGTGGGGATGCCCTTCCCTCCTGCGAATGTCTGTCTATCCAACTGTCGGTTCTTCCCCTCCGTCGAAAAACCCTGGCTCAATTTATTTGTTTTAGCTTCTGTCCGGGGTGAATGGTAAGGTATGCCGCATTAAATTAAATACTTAGCCGCTTCTCGGCACCGCTCGGCGTAAAAATTATGCCAGCATTTAAGTGTTTAATATCCGCCGGAGACTTCTGTGGGTTCGCTCGCCTTGGCTTTAGGTTGTCGGTCCTCCCTGGATATTTATTAGTTGATTTTAATGGAAAAACCCCGGCGAACACTTGGCATACATAATTGTTGCGGGCGGAGACTTACGCCAAGACATAAAACTGCAGATTTCTGGGGAGTAGGAAAGCTGATGTCATGCAAATTTAAGTGAGCTTAGGGCAAATATTTGTTGATCCCGCATAAATTAAATAGAAATTCGCAGAATTATTAAAGTTGTTGGTGGAGAGGATTCAATTTGTGAGATTTTTGTGTTAGTGTGATTTTATATAGGAAGATTTACAAGACGTGGAATTATTCAAAATAACATTATAATTTTGGCAGATTTTTTTTCAATTTTAATGACTTCATTTAAAACTTCCAAAATTTGGGTTTACTGAAAATTTACAAAAACTCGCTTGTTCTAAGTCCAGACTTTTCTAAATTTTATCAGATTTTGAAGTGGCATGCATCTAAAACTAATTTTGTTTCATTGATTTTAAATAGATAAATAATTGATAATTGTTGTTTTCATTTAAACCCAATTCTTGTTTCTGTTGCTTAACCGTTCCTTACCTTTGAAATTCCAAGTTCACATCCTTCTGAACACCTTAGATATTCCTTACATAGTTACCCCTCATTGCCTATACCAAACTAGAGAACGTAAACCATACCCCAAACGATTCCCATTCCGATTCCTATAGACCACAATGCTATCCTGCTCTGGACGACCAGAAAAACCCCCACAGGAGCCGGCGGCAACAAAGCTGCACTCAACACGAATGCAACCGGAGGGAATGGCAGGACGAAAAGGAGTGGCCCGACCGAAGGCAAACCCAAAGTGGTATCCTATCCATTCGACTGGAGCTGCTTCTGTGGCCTGCTGCTGGCAGCAATTGTTAATAAGATTTGCACATCATTTCACGTGTCTCGGCCAACTGGCTGTCTGTCTGCCGTATATTTGCATGCAATAAAGCCGCAAGGAGATTCGGAACTTCCCATCGCCAGAATTCATTGTCTCCCACTCCTTCGGGGTCTATTGTCTGTTTGGCATTTTATGGCGTACATTTAAGCCGAGAACTACAGCTGGCAAATGTCAAGTGGAGTGGGAACCGAACCTGTCTAACCCTTGACTCGATTCCCGGAAGGAGCTGCATGTGCAATGCCTGACCATTATTGCATTTTTTATGGCATTTTTTTGACACATTTCTAATGGAATTTCCAAAGGCGAAAAGGAGTCGGTCGTCGTGTCCCTCAAATGTCTTGCCCTTAAATATTGATAAGCAATTCGGGAGAGCAGCAACGTAATCGGGCAATTTGTTATAAATAAATAACAAAGCTCTCAGTTGATTTGGATTTCGGATGCCTTCTTGTTTTTCAAACTCCCTTTTTACTTATTTATTGCAGCGGAAAACAAAATTAAATTGCTATAAAACAATGATTTGCGTATTCCGTAAAGAGGGTGCTAGCCCCGAAAAAAAGAAAGATAATAAAAGGCGAAGGTCTGGGAGAATAAAATGCGACAAATTAATTGGAATTTATGGCTTGGAAGCGTGTGAAAAACTCCGAAGGAGAGATATGTCGGAACCCCGCAGAAGATGGATGTCGATGGGACGTCTGAGGAGATTTAATGAACAATTAGAGAGGATTAGTGGAAGCCCCTTTTTTGGGAAACTGACACATGATGATATTGTATAAATCCCTTCCAAAAGCTTTTTTAATTTATATCACTTGGCTTCTTTTTCACTATCCATTCACTTTTTTCACATAGTGCTGAAATTCACCGGCTGTTAACTTCATTCAAAATTCAAAAAGACCAAATTCAATGTGACAGGCTCCGGGCCACGGAAATTTCCTCGATACCAAATCCAT